AAGTATAATTGGGACAGATGCCATCATTCATACTGGTCACCTTTCCTCCCCTTGGACTCAAGGGCAGTTTACATAAGGTGCCTGAATTGCCAGCATACCTATCAGCAGTAAAGGCAAACTATTACATTTACAAGGGGGAAAAAATGTTTCCACATCACTACCTAATGCCTACACAGTAAAATATCATTCATTCAACAAATACTTACTGAGTTCATTCTGTGGCCAGATGCTGCACTAGGTGCCATGGCTACAACAGTAAACAATATTGTCTGTGCTAACAAGGAACCTATTATGTAATGGGAAAAGACACATACAAATAGTGTGAAAAAAAAGCTCCGATTAATGTAAATAGACGGCTATAAATGTACCTCATCAGCCTTGAATGACTTCTTGAAATGGGGTGGATGGGAAATGGGAGGATCCCAAGAGAAGAGGGAGAGGAATTAGGGAGGAAAAGAAGGGAGATCCAGGTATAGAAAACAGCCTGTGTAGTGGCTTGGAGAGGGACAGCATGGTGGGTTTGGAAACTGCAAGTAATTCTGAATGACAAGCAGAATATGAGGGGGAATTACCATGAGACAAGACTGAGATGAAGGAATGGGCTGGATTATGAAGGGCTTTGTGCACTCTGCCAAGATGTATGGCCTTTATCCTAACATTCTTCTTTCCTTCTCTTTTCTTTGCTCAGATAATCAGCAACATTACAGTCTTGAATTTCCTCCAGGCTCTAGGCTATCTACACACTAAAGAAGAACTGCTGGAGTCAGAGCTTGATGTTTTGAAGTCCCTGAACTTCCAAATTAATCTGCCCACTCCCCTGGCATATGTGGAGATGCTCCTGGAGGTTTTAGGTATCTTACTGTGTTAGGGAATATGGGTTGGAGACTTCCATAGAAAACAATACAAAATGTGCAAGGGGAGGCGGGCATGGCTCATGCCTATAATCCTAGCACTTTGGGAAGCTGAGGCAGGTGGACCACTTGAGGCCAGGAGTTCAAGACCAGCCTGGCCAACATAGTGAGACCCCATCTCTACTAAAAATACAAAAATTAGCTGGGTGTGGTGGTGGGCACCTGTAATCTCAGCTAATTGGGAGGCTGAGGCACAAGAATTGCTTGAACCTGGGAAGTATAGGTTGCAGTGAGCCAAGATCGTGCCACTGCACTCCAGCCTGAGCGACAGAGAGGATTCCTTTTCAAAAAAAAAAAAAAAAATTGTGCACAGGAATTTGGGAGCAGTGGGCAGAACCTGCCAATGAGGAACAGTAGGAAGCTTGATGGTGTCTCTGGATGACTGAAAAAGGTGTTCCCTCTGGCACTTGTCAGGGAAAGAAGCTCAGAGTGTCTTAGCAACTGGTTTCTGTTTGGACTTACTAGGCACTCTTATTGCAGGATCAAAGAGTTGACTTTATAGAGAAGCATAAGAGAGGGACAACTACATGCTAATTGTACATATACTACAGATGGAGGTTTCTCTACCTTTACTTTTGTCCTTCAAAACTGATCTCCAGCTAAACAGGTTTCTTGCAGAACATAGCAACCAGGAAGCACATTAGCACCTCAACAGCTTTATGTCACAACTGTGGTTATGATCAGAGAAGATAGGATTATAAATTATCCCTATCATTCCCATACTCCATCTAGGATACAATGGCTGTTTGGTTCCAGCCATGAGGCTGCATGCAACCTGTCTGACACTGCTCGACCTGGTCTATCTTCTGCATGAACCCATATATGAGAGCCTGTTGAGGGCTTCAATTGAGAACTCCACTCCCAGTCAGCTGCAAGGGTAAGACAACTCCTATAAGGTAGGCTCCTTCCAGGAACGGGGAAGGGGAGACAGACCATAAGAACCTGGGGAATGGAATTAGCTTAGCATGGCATCCAGTCCTGGATAACCTACTCAGGCTACCTGGTTCTCATTAGCTTCCAATATGTTGTTTGGATGCAGAGGACTGAGCAAGGTCAGGAAAACCCTAAAGGCTTTTACTTTTAAATTTAAATTACTGGCCGGGCGCGGTGGCTCAAGCCTGTAATCCCAGCACTTTGGGAGGCCGAGACGGGCGGATCACGAGGTCAGGAGATCGAGACCATCCTGGCTAACACAGTGAAACCCTGTCTCCACTAAAAATACCAAAAATTAGCCGGGCATGGTGGGCGCCTATAGTCCCAGATACTCGGGAGGTTGAGGCAGGAGAATGGTGTGAACCTGGGAGGCGGAGCGTGCAGTGAGCTGAGATCCGGCCACTGCACTCCAGCCTGGGCGACAGAGCGAGACTCCGTCTCAAAAAAAAAAAAAAAAAAGAAAAAAAAAAAAAAGAAAAAACAGTCACAGGGTTGCAACTTGGACAAAAGTGTTTGATCACTGTAAAAACAGGCTGTTTAAAAGCCTCACAGTTACAACCAACCATTAGGGAGACAAATAGAACTACAAAAGGCCTATAAACCATTCAGACATAAGGCTCATGTTAATCCCAGTTAAGTTGGGGGAGAATGGGAGAGCAGGTAAATGAGCTATTACTTGACCATTTCCTTCCATGTCTAAAAAATCCAAGATGATTGACACAAATAATTCATAAAGTTCCATGACCCTATGATTTGGAAGATCAAGTTCCATTCTAGCTTTAAAATTAATGTGGTTTTAATCACTCAGGGAAAAGTTTATTTCAGTGAAGGAAGACTTCATGCTGTTGGCAGTAGGAATCATTGCAGCAAGTGCTTTCATCCAAAACCATGAGTGTTGGAGCCAGGTATGCACCACTGAGCAGGACCGGCATGGTGAGAATTCATTTAACAGGAAGCATTTCACCCATCAGTTAAAGGAAAACAGAAGACAACCTACAGAAGTGCCAAGACCCAGGATTAGGATTAGTGTGCAAGATTTGAGAGGGAAAAATCTAGGATAGGGCTGAAATGTTTCCTTGTTTTCCTTTTATAAATCTGGAAACGGAGGCCCAAGTTCAGCTTGTTCATTTCTCTCTATGATAACCTGCTATTATGTTAAAAGTCCAGGCTGGGCATGGTGGCTCACGCCTGTAATCCCAGGATTTTGGAAAGCCAAGGCAGGAGGACTGTTTGAGCCCAGGAGTTCAAGACCAGCCTGGTCAACATAGAAAGACCTTGTCTCTACAAAAATTAAAAATTAGTCATAGCTGGGTGCAGTGGCTCACGCCTCTAATCCCAGCACTTTGGGAGGCCGAGGCAGGTGGATCACCTGAGCTCAGGAGTTGGAGACCAGCCTGGGCAACATGGCAAAACCCTGTCTCTACCAAAAATTAAAAAAAAAAAATAGCTGGGTATGGTGGCACATGGCTGTGGTCCCAGCTACTCAGGAGGCCAAGGTAGAAGGATCACTTGAGCCTGGGAGGTAGAGGTTGCAGTGAGCCAAGACTGCGCCACTGCACTCCAGCCTGGGAGATAGAGTGAGACCCCATCTCGGAAAAGAAAAAAAGAAAGAAATTAGCTGGGCGTGGTGGTGCATGTCTGTAGTCCCAACTACATGGACTACTTGGCTGAGATGGGAGGATCACCTGAGCCTAGGAGTTGTAGGCTGCAGTGAGCCATGATTGTGCCACTGTACTCTAGCCTGGGCGACAGTGAAACCCTGTCTCAAACAAACAAAACAACAACCAAAAAAAACCAGGAAAAAAAAAAAAAGGGTGGCTTACGCCTGTAACTCCAGCATTTTGGGAGGCCAAGGCAGGACTGTTTGAGCCCACAAGCTGGAGACCAGCCTGGGCAACACCGTAAGACCTCATCTCTACAAAAATAAACAAAAGTAGCTGGACATGGTGGCTTGCGCCTGTAGTCCCAGCTACTCCGGAGGCTGAAGTGGGAGGATCACTTAAGCCCAGGAGGTGGAGGTTGCAATGAGCCTAAAATCACACCACTGCACTGCAGCCTGGCAGCCTGGGCAACAGAGTGAGACCCTGTTTCAAAACAAAACAAAGTCCAACAATTTTATCTTCTCAATTAATGAAAATGTCAAGGCCCAAATATCATTCTTATATTTCACAAAACTTATCTCCAGCAGAGGGAAATGTCTAGCAGAAAGTTTCCATGCTAACATTATCAGGGAAAAGGTATCCTAATATAATTTGGCCATTGGCAAACACTGGAATCTGGATTTCAGAAATTTGAATTTACAATTGCCTTGAGAGAACATCCCAAGTAATGTGTGTGTTTGTGCACTAAAACATGTTGAGATTTTTTAGTAATAAGAAATCTGTCTCTATTTCTGAAGGTTGTAGGGCATTTGCAGAGCATCACTGGTATTGCCTTGGCAAGCATTGCTGAGTTCTCTTATGCAATCCTGACTCACAGCGTGGGAGCCAACACTCCGGGGAGACAGCAGTCTATTCCTCCCCACCTGGCAGCCAGAGCTCTGAAGACTGTTGCTTCCTCTAACACATGAGGGAGGCTGAATCCACCAAATATAAACAGCCTTCCGTCACTGCACTCATGCCTCCCTCTGTTTACTTTCATACTAAGGGTACAGAAGTTCCAAGTCTCTTTTGAACTGTATTTTGTATGCCAATTCCATGCTTATTTTTTCTTTATCAGAGAGAGTTAAGGTGGACGAGCATGCCCTTTTTGTTATATCAGCCTGAAAATGTTAAAAAGCTAAGTGGAGACAGATCAGTTGTTTCATTTTTGTTTAACAAGATATTTATACTTTTAATTTCATTAAGAGGAACATCAGGCATGGAGATCAGTATTAATCAGGGGCTCAAATACAGACTATCTGGGTGACCTTGACTAAGCATCAAGGAGGTAGCCTTTATTTCCCCTTAAAATTAGTTTAACATCTCTGTTCCATTATTCAGATCTACACAAACAGGACTTCCTCAACAGTTATCTATTTTTACTAGAGTCTTTTTTTAAAACTAAAACTAACTCTGAACATGTTTCAACAGAATTTCCACATACCTGCATTAGAATTCAATTATCCCAGAATACAAAGTACTCTATTTTAAAGAAAAACCCAACAGTGCGCCCCTGGGCAGTTTCAGACTGCAGCAAATCTTTTATTACAAATAATTAAATCTCTCCATAATGTCTCAAACAGTATCAAACACCATTTCATATCTCTAACACAGAGCAGAGTCGGCATTCAGTATGAGAACCGAGTGAGAAGTGTTACATTTCAAGCATCTGATCACATCACATGGTGACCAGGTAAAGCTTAGATGTCATTTTCCCACATTATCCAACTGTGCATCTCAAACATATCCTCGTCTCAGTAAAGACGAAAGTTTCTATTTCATACTGTTAAGTGCGGGAAGTTGAGAGAGATACAAATCCAGTGAAAACACATTAATCTCAATTCAACTCAGTTAAAAAAAAAAAAAAAAACAAATTTAAATTAGTTTTTTTCAGAGAAGAAAGGGAAAGGAGTCCATGGGGTTAAGAGTCAAAACTGTGACAATGGTTGGCAGCTATACCTGGCATGTTGTAGCTCTGGAAACTATCTGTCATATGATATTTTAAAATAAAGTGGCTTTTGTGGATTTTTTCTTTTTTGGTATTGTAAACATGTACTGTTTAATATTACCCGAATTTAATTTAAAACATGTTTGCAAACAAAACAAAATTAAAAGCCTTTAAGGCAAACCTCCCCCTAAGGAGAAAAGTCATTTGTTATAAAATTGTGAGGATACCCACGCAAGACCCCACTTAAGATTTGTCAGCATGAACTTGAGAGCTTTTGTCCACTGCTCCTCAGAGTTAAACTGGGTTTTGATGGAATAGGAGCCGCCGCTGCCTCCTGTGTCTTCAATCTTGCCTTTCTCCACATCCATCCTGCAGATGGACACAGCAGAACTCATTAGTAACTGAGATCTGAGTTAAGTCAGTTCAGGGCAGGGACTTGATCATGGGACCATTCACGTCATTTTATCTATCAAAGAACACTTGGTAAGGAATCGTAGTGTATTTTGGATTTGCTTGAAAGCCAAAAAATCAAGAAGACTGTCACAAGAGCCTCATTGTCATTGCAGAGTACAGGGACAGGACACACACTTAAAGAGAAGAGAAGCCTGGAGTAGAGGTGAGTGAGGGTTGCAGTACTTCTTGCTGTTTTCCTAGGCATCCCTGAACTTGGCAGGGGAGAAAGGAGGCAGTGAAAAAAAAGCTTATTTTGGGGTGATAGAAGCAGCCTTACTCTAGGTAAAAACTAGAGTTTCCATCCATCACTGGGATCCTAAAAAAATCAAAACTAGCATTCCTGTGTATTTCCAAGGACTTTAGGGAAACACCTTCTTGAAACTGGAGAGGAGGCTTGAGCTCTCAATAAAACCCCCTAAACCATCTAAGGCCACATTCTTCTACTCCAAGGACTAGGTAGTCACATTCTGTCCTGCTTGCAGTACTGGGTCAGTCTCTGCCCATCAATGTCATGTGATCCTGTGCCATATTTTTGCTTTCCCACCATTTATACTGTTTTGCCTCCATTCTTACTGCTGCTTCAATTCTGTTCAATTTGGTCCTATACAGGTTGACTCAGCATTGCGCTATACTGACCTGTAGGGAAGACAAAAACGTGTCTCGCCTTTCTCAACCTCTTCTTTGAACTGCTGCACACAGTCCAGGAAAGCCACCATTGCATGGTCAAACTTGTTGTCCCAGAAAAACCGCAACCCCCCAGAACAGTATAACGGCAGCTCCTGCCCAAGAAGAGAAAACTGGCTATGGGTCTGGCACCAAGACAGGCTTCTAGAGATTGTTCCCAATCCTATCAATCTCTCAGGTCATGTTCTGTCTGTATCCCACTGGATACAATAACTTGTATTATAGCTGGACTCTATCTTCCATAGATTTGAACAACTACAATAACCTTGGGCAAATAACAATGCACTTAGAACTGTTTCACCATCAATGAAAATGTACCATAGGTTGAGCATCCTGAATCCAAAAATCCAAAATGCTATAAAACCTTTCCAGGAAGAGTAGATGGGAAAAGAAAAATAAATAAATAGACCAGGCGCGGTGGCTCACGCCTGTAATCCCAGCACTTTGGGAGGCCAAGGCAGGTGGATCACCTGAGGTTGGAAGTTTGAGACTAGCCTGACCAACATGGAGAAACCCCATCTCTACTAAAAATACCTAATTAGCCGGGTGTGGTGGTGCATGCCTGTAATCCCAGCTACTCAGGAGACTGAGGCAGGGGAATCACTTGAACCCAGGAGGCAGAGGTTGCAGTGAGCCGAGATCATGTCATTGCACTTCAGCCTGCGCAACAAAAGCAAAACTCCATCTCAAAAACAAAAACAAAAAAACAAAAACAAACAAAAAAAACCACAAAAAGAAAAATAAATAAAAATAGGTTGGGTGCGGTGGCTTACACCTGTAATCCCAGCACTTTGGGAGGCCGAGGTCAGGAGATCGAGAGCATCCATTGTGAAACCCCGTCTCTACTAAAAATACAAAAAATTAGCCAGGCATTGCGGTGGGTGCCTGTAATCCCAGCTACTCAGGAGGAGAGGAGGCTGAGGCAGGAGAATGGCGTGAACCCGCGAGGTAGAGCTTGCAGTGAGCTGAGATCACGCCACTGCACTCCAGCCGGCGTGACAGAGCGAGATTCTGTCTCAAAAAAAAAAAAAAAGTAAAATAAAAAATAAATAAAAATAATAAAAAATGCTACAAAACCTGAAACTTTTTGACCATTGATATGATGCCACAAGTGGAAAATTCCATACCTGACACCTTTGCTTTCTGATGATTCAATGTATACAAGCTTTGTTTCATGCACAAAATTATTTACAATATTGTATGAAATTACCTTCAGACTACATGTATCAGGTATATATAAAACACAGAGGCCGGGTGCGGTGGCTCACGCCTATAATCCTAGAACTTTGGGAGGCCGAGGCGGGTACATCACCTGAGGTCAGGAGCTCGAGACCAGCCTGGTCCAACATGGTGAAACCCCGCCTCTACTAAAATACAAAAATCAGCTGGGTGTGGTGGTGGGCGCCTATAATCCCAGCTACTCGGGAGGCTGAGGCAGGAGAGTAACTTGAACCTGGAAGGCAGTGAGCCAAAATCATGCCACTGCACTCCAGCCTGGGCAACAGAGCAAGACTACGTCTCAAAAAAAGAAACATAATTGAATTTTGTGTTTAGACTTGGGTCCCATTCCCAAGATATCTTAGTATCTATATGCAAATATCCCAAAATCTGAAAAAAAATCCAAAATCTAAAACACTTCTGGTGATATCCAAGCTATAAACATCTATGTCATGGTGATTCTTTTCCTATCCTAGTGCACACATCCTCCTCTGACCTGCCCATAGCCTTTCTCAACAGACTGTCAAAACCTAATTTTCATCTACAAGCCCCCCAAAACTAAACCTGAACTAGACAAGATATTGAACAATACAATGGCTCTTCAATGATATCTAGGTCTAAAAAATAAATTGAATGCCAATATCAAAGCAAACCGTCCATTTTGTTAAGAGATATAAGAACTCTGTATTTCAGTGAAAATGGAGCTTCACAGAGTACCTTAGATTTGTCTGTCAGAGACTCCAGATATGAATGGTTTCCGTAAGGAACAAGTCGATATCTAAAACAGAGATACAAACAGAGATGGATACAGGACTCCTCCTAAAGTGATTATTGGGAAGTTATAATCCAATGATTTCACTCTTCATTCTAGCCAAGGGCTTCTTTTATTATGCTCAACTGCCTCTCCCACCTCCCCACTGGATCCACGTTTAAAATATTTTGTTTAATAAACAAACTACATTTATTATATAATTGCCAGGAGGCCTTCCATGAACAAATGTTACGTTGTAGTTTAAATTTAAGAAACAAAAACTGAAAATATCCTGAGGAACACTAAGGCTCTGGGGACTGTAGGCTGGGAACTACGCTATGGTCATGCACTCAGTGATCGTGATCAGCGGAGAGAGCCCTGTGATGAGGGGGAAAACCAGGCACTGATGGCTCTCCAGCCACAGAAAACTCCCAGTCTGTGGGCAGCAAGGGCTCCTGACATGGTGGAGAGCAGTACCAGGTTAGAGATACAAATTATATCAAAGACACACCACTCCCCAAGAAAGGGCTACACTTCCTACCTCTGAAATTTCAGACCCATCTTATTGGCCAGAGCATGGAGCAGCAACACAGTCTGGCCCCAAGCAGCATTAATCTCATTCCATTCTACGGGAACACTGGGCAGGCGACCCAGCCTGAAGTTATTGATTGTGCCAAACTGTCCACTGTGCCTACAGAGGAAGGCAGAAAGGTTGGGGGAAATACAGGGATTACTTAAAACTTTTGAGATTTCCCACTCTCACCCCAAACCTAGCTTCAATCTATCTTCAAGTCCATATATGCAAGCTGTACTTGGCACTTTAAATACATGTCCAAAACTTGAGTCATCAACTTTTTCCCTGTTGCTCAGATGCCAAAGCAGAAACCTGGGTGGTATCTCTGAATGCTCCCTCAGCTCCTTCCCCACAAAACTGCCAACCTCTCCTGATTCTACCTGCTAAATCTCTTAGATCTGTCCACTTTTCTCCAAATTCAATGCTACTACTCTTTTCCTTTAGATTCCTACTGACAAGTATCCTTTCCAACGATTCCACCCCTTTACCCCAAGTCATTCCCCATGGTGCAGGTAAAGCCATCGTTCACAAATACAAGTGTAATTATGTCACTTCCCTAGCCAAAATGCTTCAGTGTCTTCTCTGCCTTTTGGATCAAGTCCAAACCTCTTAATGAGGCCTACGAGATCCTTCAGGAACTGGTAACTCTCCAGTTTCATATCCGGTCACTCTCCCCTTTACACTCAATCTTCAGTCACAATAAGCTCCTTTCTGTTCTCTGAATTCACCACTCCCTCTTTCCCATTGCTTTGCACATGATGTTCTCTCTGCTAGGAACAACGCCCTCTCTGTAGACTTCTACTTTACCTCTCAGTTTAAACATAAGTCTCCTATGGGGAAACTCTCCATGTGGCCTCCCCAAACTGGATCAAGTGCCCTTATGTGTTCCCCACAGCACTCTGGGTTTCCCATCATCACACTGCATTACAACTGCTTGTTATTTATCCATCCCTTCCACCAGATGATATGCAACTAGAAGGTTGACTGCACACTGTTTTGCTGTTGCCTTCTTAGCACTCAGCACAGTGCCTACTGCAGAGTAGATGCTCAACAGTTATTAAATTGATGAAACATCAAACACCCTGGGGATAAGAAATCAGCACCAGGCAGCTTATCAGGTTTTTAAGTGGCTGAAGAGCTCAGGCCTTTTCCTTTCTTTAGAAGGGTGGATGTCACCAAGCTCTAGCATTCCAATCCCTACTGTGCCTATCCCATCACTACGAATGAAAGAAACCTAGCTGAGTGAAGATCAACTACAGTCCCTCTTTTGTGGGAAGTGGGCACCCAGGCTTAGTGGTCAATAGCTAAGGTCCAGGTATGTGTGGTGCTCCTCATCCCCCAGCTCTCATTACCAGATGTGGAAGGTTGCATTAAAGACATTGGTTTTCTTCAGCTTATCCAGCTGAATCTGTGCATAACGCATCTGGTTTTCCACACTCTTCAGCTCATCATCCAGCTCCAGCTGTTGCCGTTTAAATTCACTGTATTCTCTCTGATACCTGTGAGCAGCCAAGGGTGACATTGAAGGCTGTTAGTTTGGGGGCTAAAGTTTCTCTCTCACCACACTATGAACGATTCTTTAGTGATCATAGTTACATCTAGCTCTAGCATCTTTTATATTTGGCATAGATCCCATTCTGAGGAACATGTATGTCCTAGCTGTTTTGCCTGGAAGGAACAGAAATGTTCCTTCTGCCCATATGCAAAAAGGTAGAGGAAAAAAGAATTCTCCCAAACCAGGGCAAAAAATCTCTTTATTTCTGATCTTTTTCAGAAGTGAGGTGAATGGGTTAGGAGTGGCTTCTTGGGGCCGGGTATGGTGGCTCACACCTATAATCCCAGCCCTGTGGGAGGCCAAGACGGGTGGATCACTTGAGGTCAGGAGTTCGAGAGCAGCCTGGCCAACGTGGTGAAACCCCGTCTGTACTAAAAATACAAAAATTAGCCAGTCATGGTGGCACATGCCTGTAGTCGCAGCTACCTGGGAGGCTGAGGTGGGAGAATTGCTTCAACCTAGGAGGCAGAGGTTGCAGACAGCTGAGATCACACCACTGTACTCCAGCCTAGGCAACAGAGTGAGACTCTGTCAAAAAAAAAAAAAAAAGTGGCTTTTTCCTGCTGGGCATGGTGGCTCATGCCTGTAATCCCAGCACTTTGGGAGGCTGAGGCAGGTGGATCACTTGAGCTCAAGAGTTCAAGACCAGCCTGGGCAACATGGGGAAACCCCATCTCTATAAAAAATTAAAAAATTAGCCAGGTATGGTGTTGCACGCCTGTAGTTCCAGCTACTTGGGAGGCTGAGGTGGGAGGATTGCTTGAGTGTAGGAAGTCGAGGCTGCAGTGAGTCATGACTGCACCACAGCACTCCAGCCTGGATGACAGAGTAAGGCTCTGTTTCTAAAAACAAAACAAAACAAAATAGTGGCTTCTTCCATGAACTGGCCATAATTTGCCTTCTAAAGTTTCACTTCTATACACTTACTGTCCTTTAAATAGTTACTATACCCCACTTCCAGTGAAACTTGTTATACTGTGTGAAAAAAATGGACTTTTCTCTGTCCTTCATGTTCACAACTTTAGTTAGTATGGACACTGTGTCTCCTCCACTAGACAGAAGGTTCTCTTAGGTCAAGGACATCCATAATGTTTTTTTTTTTTTTTTTTTGAGACGGAGTCTCGCTCTGTCGCCCAGGCTGGAGTGCAGTGGCTGGATCTCGGCTCACTGGAAGCTGCGCCTCCCGGGTTTACGCCATTCTCCTGCCTCAGCCTCCTGAGTAGCTGGGACTACAGGCGCTCGCTACCTCTCCCGGCTAGTTTTTTGTATTTTTTAGTAGAGACGGGGTTTCACCGTGTTAGCCAGGATGGTCTCGATCTCCTGACCTCGTGATCCGCCCATCTCGGCTTCCCAAAGTGCTGGGATTACAGGCTTGAGCCACCGCGCCCGGCCCATAATGTTTTTATTTTTTGAGACAGGGTCTCAACTCTGTTGCCCAAGCTGGAGTGCAGTGGTGTGATCACAGCACACTGTAACCTCGAACTCCTGGGCTCAAGTTATTCTTCACTCCAGCCTCCTGAGTAGTTGCTAGGACTACAGGTTTACCACAGCAGCCTAGTTTTTTTTTTAATTTTTATTTCTGTAGACATGGGGTCTCACTATGTTGCCCTAGACGGTCTTAAATCCTGGCCTTAAGTGATCCTCCTGCCTTGGCTTCCCAAAGTGCTGGAATTACAGATGTGAGCCACTACACCTGGCCTCCGTGAAATTTTTAAGCTTGGAGGGAAAAACGTAGACTAATTAGCTCATCTTTTCAGACAAGGATGGCTAGAAAGTGGCTGATTCATCCAAATAAGCCCATTCCCTACAGGACACAGCCAAGACTGGAGCTCTGGTTTCTGCACTCTCTATTTAACCAACGTCCTTTTTTCATTAATCATGCCGACTCTTCATAGGTAACTCTCCCAGCAAACCTCTAGAAACAGGGCATGGAAGCAATATGCAGGATCTGGGGCAGGCATGCTGATGACTGACAGCTGACTAGAGTTTACAAACTAATTAGACACATTCAGCTGGAAGTCATTTCCTCTCCTGGAGCCTCGAGTGTGAGAAGATAGAATAGGGTGAGCACTCACTGAGCCTCCTCCTGATCCAGTCTCTCAGCCTCAGCCTGGACCTTCTCGAGATTTTCTGCCACTATCTTGCGGTTCTTTTCCACGTCTTCCAGCTCCTGGATCAGCCTCTCCTCCTCTAGTGCTAGCTCCTTTAGCTCCATCTGTAGCTGTTCACTGTCATCCTCATTCATTTGCTCTAAGATCTCCAAACAGCGTCTGCCAAAGACACAGGAAGACTATACTTACTAGAGCTCCATTTGCCTGAGTGGAGTAGGGCTCTTGGGTAAGCACCAAGCAGTCCCAGAGCAGTAACAGCTCTGAGCCCTGGCTCTGGAGACACTCACTTGTAGTTCTGACACTCATTTTCAGTGACGTTGAGCTGAGTGTCCAGCTGGTCTAAAAGAGTATCTGTGCATTCCTCACAGAGTGGGTGATCCACATCTGTCTGGCCCGACATGATGTCAAAAAGGTCTCCAGTGACCTGGAAGTGTGGGAGAGTCAGGGTAGAGCCTCCCCCATGCTTCCTGCTCAATTACCCACTCTCCCAGCCAGGCCTACTGCTTGCCACTGGAATGGGGCCGACTTGCCTTCAGTCTTCGGCTGAGGTTCTCCATGGTGCCGCCATCAGATGCCTCCCCAATCAGAGTGAAGCTGTTGGCACTTTCTGTGGACATCATCCTGCAGACAGCCCCCCGCCCACGGGCCACATGAGGGAACAGAGAGGCTTCCTCCACCTACTGCAATGCCAGTGGCAGAGACTCTCAAGCACCAGCTGAGGGGCCTCAGGGCACATACCCACTCCTAGCCCAACTGACCTCCCAAGGGTACCTCTCTCCCAAAGGAAGGCCATGCTGGTCTTCCACAGAGACACTCAGCACGAAGGTTGGCCTTGATGGACTAAGGAGGGAAAGGGAGCATAAAAAATTGATATGTCTACAGTGGAAAAGAATGGAGAACCAGGAAAGGCCATTTAAAAAAATATTACACCCCTTGCCAGCAACCTCTTTACCTGCAGCAATGAGAACTAAGGACCCAAACATCTAACGACATTTGCTATTCTGAAACTTCTCAAGAGCCCATCTCTTGGTGATTAGTCAATCACTCCCTCAATTTTTTTCAATGCTTCATCATTAAAGCTACTACCCTTTCCCACTGTGTGAATGGCTACAGGAAAAAATCCATACTGGAAGGTGACGGGCCAGGTGTAGGGGAATACATCTTTTCTGAAAGGGCCAAAAGGCTAGGTGATGATGCATCTCCATCACCTGGCTCCAGGTCTCAATTCCTGGATTTAATTAAAATTCTACTAGTCTTTGGCAAGGAATGGGGGCTGAGAAGTAGTAGGCACCTGGCTGGGGGGATGAATCTGCGAGAGACACCATCCTGGCGAGGAGTTTCGATAAATGGCTCCTGGGAAAGAAATAAGAGGGCATTAGAATTCTGGCAGCTAAGGTAGAGTTCATCTCCCAAACACCCTCAGAACTATATGGCTTTAGTCTTGATTGATAACCACAAGACTTGATAAACCACAGAGACTTAAAAAATGGGTATTATCAAAGCAGTGGAGGTATTAATGACCTCCACTAAACCTGACATCAGCACTCTCCCAGTGACTGGCAGCAGCAGGTAAATAAATACTCCAGCTCCCTTGCTACTTGAGAAGAAATCTCAGGTGTGTATTCAACACTATCTCACAGGATGTTGCTCCACAGATGCTCCACAGGATCACTGATATTATCACAACTTAAAATGACATGTTCTCTAACACTGACAATTCTTTCTGTCCAGGGTAATCATACAATTCGCTGTCCTAACCAGGATGCTTTTGAGAATGGAGACGAGCGGATATTAACAACTAGCTAGAACAACAGATGCAAATCAATGCTCTGGAACGACCTGGACACACAGACCATCCCATCTCCAACCGACAATAGTTTGTAATTCTGCTTCAAGTAAAGAGCCCTTTCCAACATTTTTAAATGGCTCATTCAGTAACCCTGTGACCTCAGGTGCAGATCTGTACCTCCAATAGTGCACAACAGCCTGATCATGTAGAATGTCTCCTTACCCAGAGACCCCAAAAGTCTGGGGGGTCTAGAAGCGCCAAGTAGCCTGCAGAAACCAAGCCTGCATTCTTGTGTTTTCATATCATATCTCCCATTTGGAATGTTTACTACATGAGGAAGATAGGGGAGAGGGCACTTCTATTACCTCTCCTGAGTTAGTCTCTTCCTCCTGGGTCTCTCCTGGTTTCGCCTGGGCTGTGGTAAGTAATGGAGCTAAGGGCAAGGAAAATATTGGGTCAGACACAGTCTTATTAAAGCAGGAGGGCATCTGAAAGTATGGGAAAAGAGTCTGAAATATTCTCATCACCACCCTCACCTCCAATTTTTCTTAAAGTACCATTTACACCAAAAAGAATCTGTGGTCCTCCTCACCCCCATTAAATCAGATGAAGGAAACGTTCACTTTTTTAAGGCATAATAGTGTCATGATTATTATTATTATTTTGAGATGGAGTCTCGCTCTGTTGCCAGGCTGGAGTGCAGTGGCGCGATCTCGGCTCACTGCAATCTCTGCCTCCCGGGTTCGAGTGATTCCCCTGCCTCAGTCTCCCGAGTAGCTGGGACTACAGGCGCGCACCACCACACCCAGCTAATTTTTTGTATTTTAGTAGAGACAAGGTTTCACCATGTTAGCCAGGTTTTGATCTCCTGACCTCATGATCCACCCGTCTCGGCTATCCAAAGTGCTGGGATTACAGGCTGAGCCACTGTGCCCGGCCAGTATCATTTATTTTTAAGAATCCTTACCTGTCAAAAATACAGAAATATTTACAGTATTTATGCTTGGGATTTGCTTCAAAACAATTCAGGGTGGAAAGGAATGGATGGGGTTGTGGATAAAGCTTGATTAAATATGTGTTGCTAATTGTTGCAGCTAGGTGATGGGTACACAGGGGTTCATGATATACTCTGAAATTTTCCATCACAAAAGTAAACATCTGTTTCCCCCAGAATAGCAAGGAGGGAACATAAGGAAACTTTCTGGGAAGATGAAACATTGCTAAATTGCAGTGATCCAGATTACATGAGTGTATCCATCTGTCAAAAATGCATAGCTAAGATTCATTTATTTCAAGGCACGACAATTTACCTTTCTAAAAAGGTGTGAAAAACATAATAATTGAGCAGGGGATGGGAGGTGAGTGGAGGTGTAGATAACATAAGAATGTGAGAACATGGCTGACTGTTGAAGCTGGGTGATGAATACAAGGCAGGCTATGCTATTCTCTTGACTATATAGGTCTGAAATTTTCCATAATAAAAAGTCAAAAACTGTTATTAAAAGAGTTAATTTCAGCCGGGCGTGGTGGCTCACGCCTGTAATCCTAGCACTTTGGGAGGCTGAGGCAGGCAGATCACAAGGTCAAGAGATCAAGACCATCCTGGCCAACACAGTGAAACCCTGTCTCTACTAAAAATACAAAAATTAGCTGGGCGTGGTGGTGTGCGCCTGTAGTCCCAGCTACTCGGGAGGCTGACAGAGGTTGCAGTGAGCTGAGATTGTGCCACTGCACTCCAGCCTGGCAACAGAGCGAGACTCTGTCTAAAAAAAAAAAAAAAGAGTTAATTTCCCCTCAAAAAAAAGAAACCAGGTAATAATAGCAGCTAACATTTATTGAATGCTATTTGCCCAGCATATTCCTAAGTGTTTCTGTGGTTTGTCATATTTGAACTTTATAAATTCGTTATGAGGCAGTTCAACATTTTACAGACAAATCAGAAACCAAGGCTTGGAGAAAAGAAGTAACGTGCAAAAAGTTGTTCAGCTAGTAAATGACAGCCAGGATTTAAACCCAAGCAGGATGACTCCAGGCCCATAAATTTATCTAAGCTGCCTATTCAGTCTTCTCTTTTACTGTCTGACTTAATCTGAATTCTTCCGACTTTGCGGGGTTTTGGGTTTTTTATTTTTTTAATTATAGAGACAGGGTCTTACTGTGTTGCCCAGGCTAGTCTCGAATTCCTGCTCAAGTGATCCACCTGCCTCAGCCTCCCATAGTGCTGGGAGTACAAGTGTGAACCACCACTCCTGGCCTTTTTTATTTATTTAATTTATTGACACAGGGTCTTGCTCTGTTGCCCAAGCTGCAGTGCAGTGGCATGATCATAGCTCACTGCAGCTTTGACCTCCTGGGCTCAAGTGATCCTCCTGCCTCAGCCTCTACCACTCATCACACTCAGCCTTTTTTTTTTTTTTTTTTTTTAGTAGAGACAAGATCTCTGCTAGGTGGCTCAGGTTGGTCTTAGAACTCCTGAGCTCAAGCGATCCTCCCACCTCAGCCTCCCAAAGCACTGAAATTACAGGCATGAGCCATCATGTCCAGCAAATTCTTCAGACTTTAAGACTCTACTCCATTTACCAGCTGTTGGACCTTAGGTGAGTCACTTAATCTCACTGTGCCTCAATTCTTCATCTGAAAAATGATGTAATGATGGTGTACCCCATAGGGGTTGTTACAGGGACTAATACATTACATGAAGTAATATGTGTAATGCACTTGGTAATACTATATAGTAAGTCCTCAACAAACACCATTTATTATTATATATACATATTCCTTTTCTCTGAAACAGCAGGAGCAGAAAATAAGGCCCCTTCTTTTGCTACGGAAAGCTTTTTTTGAGACGGAGCCTCGCTCTGTTGCCCAGGCTGGAGTGCAGTGGCGCGATCTCAGCTCACTGCAACCTCCACTTCCCGGGTCCAAGCGATTCTCCTGCCTCAACATCCCCAGTAGCTGGGACTACAGGCGCGTGCCACCACGCCCGGCTAATTTTTGTATTTTTAGGAGAGACGGGGTTTCGCCATGTTGGCCAGGCTGGTCTGGAACTCCTGACCTCAGGTGATCTGCCCACCTCGGTCTCCCAAAATGCTGGGATTACAGGCGTGAGCCATCGCTCCCGGTCGGTCAGAAAGCTCTCAGAAGCCCACAGTGTCAGAATGCTTTATGTTCCCGAGGAGAAAACAGGGAGCCAGAGAGATGAAGTGACTTTCCTAGGTTCACACGATGAGTTTGTGGCAGACTACACAGCCACCATAAGAATTATATCACCAAAGCTGCCCACCTTCCACATTCTTGACCACCCTCTTTCCAAGGGTCTCGCTGACCTGTGAGTTCCTGGATGGTGACACGGTCCAGGATCTTGAAACTCGTGTCCAGTTTCAGGGGCTGGCTGCAGCGCTGGCACACGAAGCTCACCTGCATGGTGCTGTTGTTGGACGTCTTAGACCCTTCCATCCCTGCGGCGGTGGAAAAGAGGCAACATTATGGAGAAGCGACGCCCTTGAACCTCCGGCCCGGGGTTACTACATGCCTTGGTGACGACGGTAAAAGGAGGGAACTCCCAGTCTGCGCCGTTCCCTCTAGGAACGGTATGATACGGGGCGGACCTGCTTCCGGGGCAGCCTGAGCAAGGGTAGTTTAGAACCCAGGGTCAGGGAAGGGACTCCAATAAGAGCCGTGAGGGTTCTCAAACTCCCTTCTAAGGTCCCACCTCAGCCCCGATGCTCTTCACCTCGGGAGCCCGGAGCCCGTCACCCAAGTCCGGTCTACCGCGGGGGCACTGTGGCCTCGGGTCGGTCCCAGAGCGAGGCCTCCAGAACTGCCATCGCTCTGTCTTCAGCGACTTCCCGGTCCGCCGGCGGAAAACTTCCGCCCGAGACCGGACGTGACGCCAGGACGGCAGCAGGCGCTCCTGGTCCACAGGCTCACGGGCCCGGCAGCGACCCCCAGAGGCCAGGCTGGGAAAAGCAGCGGGCTTCAGCGGACGACCAAGGTTACCACGGGAAGCGTAGGCGCCAATTACGCAGAGAACGGGGAGGCTCCGCTATTCTCTAAATTCAGGGAGAGGCGGGCGCGGTGGCTCACGCCTGTAATCCCAGCTCTTTGGGAGGCCGAGGAGGGCGGATCACGTGAGGTCAGGAGTTCGAGACCAACCTGGCCAAAACAGTGAAACCCCCATCTCTACTAAAAATACAAAAATTCCCCGGGCGTGGTGGTGCGCGCCTATAATCCCAGCTACTCGGGAGGCTGAGGCAGGAGAATCGTTTGCACCTTGGAGGTAGAGGTTGCGGTGAGCCGAAATTGGGCCACTGCACTACAGCCTGGGCCACAGGGCAAGGCTCCATCTCAAAACAACAACAACAACAAAAGGCTGGGCATGGTGGCTCACGCCTGTAATTCCAGCACTTTGGGAGGCCAAGGTGGGTGGATCACAAGGTCAGGAATTCGAGACCAGCCTGGCCAATATGGTGAAATCCCGTCTCTACTAAAAATACAAAAATTAGCCGAGCGTGGTGGCGTGCTCCTGTAATCCCAGCTACTCAGGAGGCTGAGGTAGGAGAGTCGCTTGACCCCTGGAGGTGGAGGTTGTAGTGAGTCAAGATCACACCACTGCACTCCAGCCTGGGTGACAGAAGGAGACTCCATCTCAAAAAAACCACACACACGCAAAATAAAATAAAATAAAATAAAATCACAAAAAAAGAAAGTGTTATTCAAATAAAGACTTGAAGAAGGTGAGGAACGAATTCTTGCCTACATCTAAAGGAAGAACATTCTAGGTCAAGGGAACAGCAAGAGCACAGAGGGTGCCTGTTCAGGGATTAGCAGAGACTGGTGTGGCTAGAAGATGGGCAAGGAAAAGAGATACAGAAAATGGGGTGAGGGAGGTAAGGGGGTGAGGGAGGTAAGGGTGTTGAGCTGTCTACCACCTAGGCTCTTACAGGGAGTGTAAAGCTCTGGCTTTCACTTTGAATGAGATGAGATGGCTGGGTCTTGAGCAGAGGGACTTACTTCATTTTTAAAAACAACTTTATGGGGTATAATTTACATACCGTAAGACTCACACTTTTTAAATGTACAGTTCAATGATTTTTAGTACATTTACAGAGTTGCACAACTATCACTATAATCCAATTTTAGAACATTTCCTGTTTTCCCTTGCAACCCCGCCACTGTGGCCTCCCAAAGTGCTGAGATTACAGGTGTGAGCCAATGTGCCTGGCCAAAAGTTTTTCATTTCAATAAAGTCCAGGGCTTATGCTTTTGGTGTAAGAGAAACCACTGCTTAACCCAAAATTGTATGTAGTATTGTCTATTTTATTTTTATTTTGAGACAGTGTCTTACTCTGTTACCCAGGCTGGAGTGAAGCGGAACGAACAAACATGGCTCACTGCAGATTTGACTTCCTGGCTCAAGCAATCCTCTTGCTTCAACCTCTGGTGTAGCAGGGACCACAGGTGATCGCTACCACACCCAGCTAATTTTTAAATTTTTTGTAGAGATGGGGTCTCACACTGCACTCCGGCCTGGGCGACAGAGTGAGACTCCATCTCAAAAAAAAAAAAAAAAAAAGGAGATAGTATCTCACTTTGTTGCCCAGGTTTCTGCTTTTTAAATTTAACATTTTTCTATGTTGCTACATAGTTATTGTAGTTATCATGGCTACATTACACTACACTAAATGTACTACCTTAGTGTATTTTTTTTTTTTTTTACTGCTGGAAATTCTATTTCCCCTTTGGGTGATTACAATAATGCTGCAATGAAGAGCTGACTACTTACTTATGATAGAGACTCATAACTGGGATTACAGAATTAAGACTCTGTCAGCTATTTAATGTCTCTTCCTTAACATTGGGAATCATTTTCCAAAGTGCTTGTACATAATTATATTCTGCCTCCAATAATGTATGAGGAAGCCTGTTTTCATATTGCCTTGGCCAGTATTGGGTATCATACATTTGGGGAACAAAAGCAAAAAATGACACTTCCTTGTTATTTTAATTAGCATCATTCATTGGTGATAAAGCTGAACTTTTTGCTATGTATTTGCTTATTGTAGTTACTTTTTTTTTTTTTTTTTGAGATGGAGTCTCGCCCTGTCGCCCAGGCTGGAGTGCAGTGGTGCAATCTCGGCTCACTGCAACCTCTGCCTCCCGGGTTCACGCCATTCTCCTGCCTCAGCCTCCCGAGTAGCTGGATTACAGGCACCCGCCACTACGCCCGGCTAATTTTTTGTATTTTTAGTGGAGATGGTTTCACCGTGTTAGCCAGGATGGTCTCGATCTCCTGACCTCATGATCTGCCCGCCTTGGCCTCCCAAAGTGCTGGGATTACAGGCGTGAGCCACCATGCCTGGCCTTTTTTTTTTTTTTTTTTAAACAGACACCGTCTCACTCTGTCACCCAGGCTGGAGTGCAGTGGTGCAATCTCAGCTCACTGGAACCTCTGCTTCCCGGGCTCAAGCAGTAGTTACTTTTTTATGAATTATGTTTGCATTCTTTCATTATTTAGGTATTGAATTCTTAGTATTTTTCTCAGTATTTGTAGCAATTTTTCATGAAATGCTTTAATGTATTTTCCCGATGTTCAGAAAGTTATAAATTTTCAAGTCAAATCTGCTTATGTTTCTTGATGACTTATATTGCTTAGAAAGTTATTCCCACTTCCAGAAGTGTCTTTCTTTTCTTTTAAATGTATGTGGTCTTCTTATAGTTGGTATTGGATGTGATATGTGGAACTAGATTGATTTTTCTCCTGGTTTTGTGACTAGGAATAGTGTTTACAATCCTTCTTCTTCTTGGCTCTTTCAGCATGAAAGCCCCTTTAGGAGAGGTGACTGGAATCATCCCCAAAGAATTCTCCCCTAGTCCTGGTATGGCTGCTTCATCGTCCTGCGTTTCTTCCTGCTTGGCTGTCCCTAACACATCTCAGAAAAGCATAGAGAAGTAACGGGCTTCTAGAGAGGTAGGGCATATAGTGTCACAACTGAAGATTTGGAAGTTGAGACCACCTGGTTCTTTACCATCCACTAGCCATGTGACCTTGTGCAATTCATTCAACTGTTCTGTGCTTTGTTTTCTTATTTACAAAATGAGAATAATAGTATACAATAGTAAATATCATAAAGGGTAGTGTGATAAATGAGCTGATACAAGTGGAACACAGGGCAATGACTGTTACATAGTGAATGCTCTATGTGCCCTCCCACTTGGGAAGTATATGTAGTCAGTGTATGTAGTGCTTGAGGGATTAGTGAATAATCCACAACATATCCTCAGTCATCGATTCAACAGATGTTTATTGAGGATCTATTATGTGCCAGTCCCTATTCTAGGTCTGAGAGGATATACTGGTGAACTGCTCTGATAGTTTATATTCTAGAGGAGAGAATTTGACAATAAACATGTAACCAAGTTAATAAGATAATTTCAAATAATGGCACATGCTATGGGTTGAGTGGTGGCCCCCAGAAGATGTTGAAGTCCTAACATCTGGGACTAACACACGGGAATGTGACCTTTTTTGGAAATAGGATCGTTGCAGATGAGGTCATTAATGTTAGCCCTAGACCAATATGACTGCGTCCTTATAAATAGGGGCAATCTGGACACAGAGACAGATACGTACTGTGTCTGAGGGAAGATGATGTAAAGAGACACAGGGTGACCTCTAAGCCAAGGAAGACCTGAGGCTGCCAGAAGCCAGGAAAGAGGTCTGGAACAGATTCTTCTCTGGCTCCCTTAGAAGGAACATGGTCCCGCTGATACCTTAATTTTGGACTTCTAGCATCCAGAACTCTGAGACAATATATTTTTCTGGTTCTAAGCCATCCACTTTGTGGTACTTTGCTACAGCAGCCCTGGAAAGCTAATACAGGAGGTGAAAGCGTGATGTGATAGAGAGTAAGTGGGGGCAGGGTGGGAGGAGCTACTTCAACTGAGGGATTCAGGAAGGCCTGTGTTATCTGGAAACCACTGAGGGTGATAAGTAGGGAAGAGACATGACTGGGTGACTTAAAAAGAAACTATTTACTGGGGGATAGAATATATAGGGGAAAGGATATAAATCATATGTGTATTTTCAATGAATTTTTTTTTTGTTACTTAGTTTTTATTTCATAATCATAAACTTAACTCTGCAATCCAGCTAGGCATGGGAGAGAACAAGGAAAACATGGAACCCAAAGGGAACTGCAGCGAGAGCACAAAGATTCTAGGATACTGCGAGCAAATGGGGTGGAGGGGTGCTCTCCTGAGCTACAGAAGGAATGGTCTGGTGGTTAAGATAAAACACAAGTCAAACTTATTCGAGTTGTCCACAGTCAGCAATGGTGATCTTCTTGCTGGTCTTACCATTCCTGGACCCAAAGCGCTCCATGGCCTCCACAATATTCATGCCTTCTTTCACTTTGCCAAAGACCACATGCTTGCCATCCAACCACTCAGTCTTGGCAGTGCAGATGAAAAACTGGGAACCATTTGTGTTGGGTCCAGCATTTGCCATGGACAAGATGCCAGGACCTGTATGCTTTAGGATGAAGTTCTCATCTTCAAATTTCTCCCCATAGATGGACTTGCCACCAGTGCCATTATGGCGTGTGAAGTCACCACCCTGACACATAAACCCTGGAATAATTCTGTGAAAGCAGGAACCCTTATCACCAAATCCTTTCTCTCCAGTGCTCAGAGCACGAAAATTTTCTGCTGTCTTTGGAACCTTGTCTGCAAACAGCTCGAAGGAGACGCGGCCCAAGGGCTCACCGTCGACGGCAATGTCAAAGAACACGGTAGGGTTGACCATGGCTAGTAGTACAGGACTTTCCTCGGCGGCAGCATCTGCAAAGCTTTTCAATGAATTTTTACAAAATGAACACATCAATGTAACTAACACCCAACTCCCTCTCCCATGCCTCCTTCTAGTTGATGCCCACCCTAAGGGCAAACAATATCATCAATTCTGACACCCTAGATTGAGTTTTGACTGTTTTTTGAATTTCATGTAAATGGAATCATACATGACATACTCTTTTGTTTCTGTTTTCTTTTGCTTATCATGAGATTCACCCACCTTGTGTAGTTTTAGTTCATACATTCTCAATACTTTGTAGTATTCCATTGTGTGACTATATTAAAATACAGATATCTCTCTTGCTGTTAAGAGGCATCCGGGTAGTTTCCAGTTGGGTCTATTGTGAATAGTGTCGCTATGAACATTCTTGTTCATGTCTTTTGGTGAATATATTTATGCATTTCTCTTGGGTGGGTCCCTAGAATTGAGGTTTCTGGGATCTCTCTCTCTCTCTCCCTGTTTTTCCTAGGTATAGATATTCAGCTTGAGTAGATGCTACCATGTCTGTGGTTGATATATTAAAAAATTATTTTGAGCTGGCCTAGTGTGCACCTGTAATCCCAGCTCCTCAGGAGGCTGAGGCGGGAGGATCCCTTGAGCCCAAGAGTTCGAGACCACCTTGGGCAACACAGCAAGATCCTGTCTCAGTCAATCAATCAATCAATGATAAATTTTGGTGCTGAGTGAAGAATAGAATGTGATTGTTGGTAGGGGGTGGCAAGAGTGGAAATGGAGAGACCAGATAGGAGCCTATTGTAATAGTCCTAGCAAAGGATGACAGTGGCTTTGGCCAGGCTAACAAGAGATGGAGGAAAGCACACTCATACAGGATGCATTATACAGGGAAAGCTGACAGGACCTGCTGATGGATTGAATGTGGAAACATGAGGGAAAGAGAGGAATCAAGATTGACTGTTAGGTTTTTGGTTTGAACAACTGGGTGAACAATTATGTCAATTACTGAGATGGAGAAGAATAGGAAAATAACAGGTGTGTAGGAGAATCAAGAATTCTGGTTTGGCCATGTTAAGTTTGATATGCTCATTAGGTTTCCAAGTAGAAACATCAAATAGATGGTTGGAACTCAGTGAAGATGTCAGATGGGAGATACGAACCTGGGGCCCTCAAATCAGCATACAGATGATTTTTTTTTGTTTTTTTGAGACAGAGTTTCGCTCTTGTTGCCCAGGCTGGAGTGCATGGCGCGATCTTGGCTTACCACAACCTCCACCTTCCAGGTTCAAGTGATTCTCCTGCCTCAGCCTCCCGAGTAGCTGGGATTACAAGGCATGTGCCATCGTGCTGGCTAATTTTGTATTTTTAGTAGAAATGGGGTTTCTCCATGTTCAGCTAGTCTCGAACTCCCGACCTCAGGTGATCTGCCTGCCTTGGCCTCCCAAAGTGCTGAGATTACAGGCATTAGCCACTGTGCCCGGCCGCATACAGATGATACTTAAAGCTATGAACATGCATCGATCCTCTTAGGGAGAAAGTGTAAGTAGAGAATAAACAACATAAGTCTCCTGAAGCATGCCACCATTAAGAAGTGGAGCAGAGGAGGAAGAGCCAGCAAAGGAAACGGGGAATCACTGTTGAGGCTGGAGAAAGATCAGAACAGGTTGCTGTGTGTATTTTAAGAAGGGGAGTGGCTAAGATGTTGAGTACTACTGAGAGGTTCAAATAAGATGAGAGGTGACCACTGGTGCTGTCAACATGGAAGTCACTGGTAACCTAACAAAAATTGTATCATTGAGAAAGTGGGGTTGAGAAGTCTGATTAGAGTGGACTGGAGTAAATGGGGCATGAGGAAGTAGGGTAAGAGACAATAAATAATTCACAAGTCTTGCCAGGAAAGAGAGCACAGAAAGGGAGTAATAGCTACAGAGGAACCTGGATTCGGGGGGGAGTTTTCTCAAGATAGGGGATATTGGTCATGTCTGGAAATGACCCAGCAGAGGATAAATGTGATGTAGGAAAACGAGGGGCTAATCATGGGCACAGACATTGAGAAAGTGAAAGGGGATGGAATCCAAGGAACAAAAGGAAGAGATGGGAACAGGTATGTTTCCTTCAATGAAAGAGGAAAGGCAGAAAGTATTTTGCAGATTGGCAGATTTGGTGGTGAGATGATGAGGAAGTTCTCATTTGCTTCTGTTTTCTCAATAAAGAATGAGCCCAGATCTAAGCTGGAGGTGGGAGAGAAGGAATACTGGAGGTTCAGGGAGATGAGAAAGTATGACAGTCATTGGGAGGGGGAGAGCAAACTCGTCAGGAGCATGTAGTAGGAACTCAGGCAGTGTTGTGCACTCATATGAGATTTCGGGACATGAATTTAAAATTAGACCAGTCATCAGTGATCACATGTGACTTGTAAGCACCCAGAAATGAATAGTTATTGTTAAATGTAGTGGTACCCTCCAGTTGTTCACTGAATAAACAAATGAATGGAGTATTATATAAAACACTTGGATGGGGAGGAGGAAGGGAAATAAAGAGAATGTGTATCTGTCTTATAACCTACTTGAAGGAGACAAAACATAATTATTTGAGAACAAAGCATATTTTAACAGACACAAACATATTAAGTTTTCCAGTTGATGTTATAAATTCTGAAAGAAATACAGAATAGTGGCATACTTAAAATAGGATGGAGTTAATGTGGGAAATAATTCCTGAAGTTTCAAATCGGATCTCAACATTTCCCGGGGAAATATGTTAACAGAAAACAGAGGTAAAAGGGGGAAAACTGTTAGATGTTTATGAGCGAGATGGATAGTATGAGCTATGTTATATGTGGCCTTCTATAAGCTGAAAAGGACTTTGAGCTTGAAAGCAGGAATGAAAATAATTACTGTAATTTAAGGACTAACCTCTTCATGCTAAGCGTTAACAGATCAGTTACTTATCTGACAGTGGCTACTATTTATTTTCTATCTAAGCACTGTGCTAATTGTTTTACATATATTATTTCTAATATTCACATTATAATATTACATACTATTATTTATTACTAATTATTAAAATTCCATTTTACAGATGAGGGAATTGACTCAGCATTTCAATAATTTGCCCAAGATTCCAGTTAGTAAGGAGCTGAGGTGTGATTTGAGGCACAGGTCTCTGATTCCAAAGGCCATAGTCAGTCTTCTGTGCTTTACTCCATTTAATTGTGTATTCCCCTCATTCTCCTAGCACTTAGTAGAGAGGCCAGTCTAGGATAAATGTTCAACAGCAAGAGCGACCCCAAAATATAAATCTGATGACCTCTTTTTGCACTTAATCTACATTGTTTACTAACAACCCTCCTCACCCCCAGCTCACCAGTCTTTGTCTTCAAGACAGTCTCTTTCTTTCCTTCCCTAGAGCATTTGCTGCACTTATATCTCTCAAGGCTCTTCTCACTCTTTCCATGCTAACCCCTTTATGTCCTTTAGATCGCAGCTTGTCACTTGTTCAGAGGCCTTCCTTGGCCATTCGATCTAAAATAGATCTCTGGTATTTTCTATATCATCCACTTGTTTCCTAATATTTATCAAATTTTGCAGTTACTTTGTCAGTTTACTTTCTGGTGTTTTTTCAATATTATGCCCCATGGGACCAGCAACCTTGAATCTTGTTTGCCTTTGATTTCCCAGAGCAGTGCTGTTCAATACAGAAGCCAGCAGCCACATGTGGCTACTGAGCACTGTACTGTAAATGTGTTGTTTTCTTATTGAGATGTGCAGTTAAGTGTAAAATATGCACTGGATTTTGAAGACTTGGTATGAGAAAAGAATGCATAAGATCTCGATTTTTTAATGTTGATTACATGTTGAAGGACTTGGATAAATTGGGTTAAATATATGACTAAAATTTTCACTTGTTTCTTTTACTTTTTAATTGTGGCTACTAGAAGATTTCAACCTACAAATGTAACTCACATATTTCTAGAATCTGAGACAGTGCCCTGGCCCATTTTATTGAATGAAATATCCAATGTCGAGAGAGAGCTCGAATGAATGGGTGTATGAAGAGGTATAGTCTCAAGCTTCCATTAGGCAAATAGATACAGCACTGCCATAGAAGTTAGGAGATCTGGGTCCTGGCTCAGGATGTACTGGAAACGCCTTGGACAAGTCTTGCCCTACTCTGGGCATCAATTTGCCCATTAGGTAGTTGATCTTTGAGGTCCGGAAGCTTACGACAGTCAGTTGGCAGGGAAATGTACCAGGAAAGCTTGGTACAACCGCACTTGTCTTTTTCGCTCTAGCCTAAACACTTGAGCCTCGGCAAACGGGCAGAGGCAGCGGGAATCAGGGACTACACCCCCGAACCCAGTACCCGGGTCCCCGACTTCCCCGAGCCTACGTCACTGGGGCGCGACGGCGCTGTCCCCGGGACTGCAGCGACTGAAGTCCCTTCGGTGAAGGCGAGTTCCGGGCCAACAGAGAGGGTCGCACCGTTTCCGAGTCTTTCGGAGGCTCAGTTCTCAGCGCACCATTCCCCACAGCTCTCCTTTTTACTTCACCCCTACCCAACACTTTACCCCGGCAGCATGAACCCCGCCGAGAGCATCCAAACCCGAGTTTCATCGCGGCTGCGCAGCGCACGTGCACAGCCTCGCAGGAGTCTCGGCGATTGGCTGTGACGCAGTTTCCGGCGTGAGCGGCGAAAGCCGGGAGGGCGAGCGAGAGAGCGACCAGGCAGCAGGCTGCCGGCGGGCGGGCGGACGGCACGGAGGGAGGGAGCAAGCGAGCAGTGAGTGAGCCAGCGAGGGCGGCCGGGTCCCGAAGTCAGCCGAGATTTCTCAGGTCCCTCCGGCCCCCTCCCTGGAGTCCACAGCGCCTCCGGTGTCCAGCGGATCGGACACGGCCCGGCCCGGCCATGGCCTCGTTGCTGAAGGTGGATCAGGAAGTGAAGCTCAAGGTAGCGGCACCGGTCCGGCCTTTTTGCCCCTCGCTTTGATCCCCCAGCAGTCTGACTGGCTTCCTACTCCCCATGGCGTCTTTGTCTCCCTGGGGATACCAGCTCTGAGCTTCCGCTCGACTCAGCCCAGCCCCCAACTCCCGGGGTCGGCTTCGCGGGAGAGGAAAATATAGGATGGCTTTCTGTACCGCGTCTGATGATGGAGAGTCCCGGGGACACCTCCGCGGACACGTGTTGGACTCAGGGCTTTAGGCCAGTGACAGCTGGAAATCCCCCAGCCCAACAACGTCCCTGGACACTGCCCCTGCCCTTGGTGGCTGGCCTGCTTGGTATCATAGGCCAGGTCTGGGTGGGGGTTGGCACGTTTGTGAGCTCACATCTTTCCTAACTACCTGTCTTTTGTCTGCTTATCAAATTCAAACAGCTTCAGACACAGGAGGGAGGGAGGGGAGAGGAGAGAGGAGACAGGCAGGTGCTGCCCTCAAAGCCCTGCTTTCTTCTCCTGAGATGGAAAAATGGATCCTCAAAAAAATAAAGTATTTGCAGTCTGGGGGCCTCTCAGCTTCTTATTACAGTTACAAGGTGAGGGAAAGACAGTTGGATTTGGGATTCTCTATCCTGCTCTTACCTCTGTCCCCAGGTACTGAATTGCTCTCTTTGTTAATTTTAGGTTGATTCTTTCAGGGAACGCATCACAAGTGAGGTGAGTGAAATAAATAGAAAGATGAGTGTTGGTTGAGAGTTTCCCAAAGAGGAGATATCTGTAGAGAGAGAGAGAGACCTTCCCACAGATACTAATTCAGCTGTATTTTCCCTCCTCCTTAGGCAGAAGACTTGGTGGCAAATTTTTTCCCAAAGAAGTTGTTAGAACTTGATAGTTTTCTGAAGGTGAGAGACCCTTTTCTTTCCTCAAATTCGCCTATTTTTTTGGCCCTGGTATTACTGTCAACTGGAACAAATTGTGTGTTGATTCTTCTTTTTATTTTTTTTAAACTGTAAAAGCGCTTTCATTTCTTGCTCTTCGATCAAATACTTCTTTGTTCAGCTTGAAAAGATTAATGTTTTGGGTGGGTGTCTTTCAGGAACCAATCTTAAACATCCATGACCTAACTCAGATCCACTCTGACATGAATCTCCCAGTCCCTGACCCCATTCTTCTCACCAATAGCCATGATGGACTGGATGGTGTAAGTGTCCTATATTTATCTTTGTGTTCTTGAGCAGTAGGTCCTCTGTCCTCTGTTTCCTTGTCAGTTTAAGATGTACAGAGGCAACAGTGGGATTTGGATCTGGGAACTAGGACTGTTACAGACATGATGACTCTAGTATAGTTGTTTTATTTCTTATTTATTTATTTATTTTTGAGAAAGGGCGTCACTTTTTTTTGCCCAAGCTGGAGTGTAGTGGCATGAGCACTGCTCACTGCAGCCTGGACCTCCCAAACTCAAGTGACCCTCCCCCCTCAGCCCGCCAAGTAGCTGATACTACAGGAGTGTGCCACCATGCCCAGCTGATTTTTGTATTTTTTGTAGAGACAGGGTTTCACCATGTTGCCGAGGCTGGTCTCAAACCACTGAGCTCAAGTAATCCACCTGCCTCAGCCTCCCAAAATGCTGGGATTACAGGTGTGAGTCACTGCACGAGGCCACCGGTATATTCCTTTTAGACCCTGAGTTTCATTTACGACGTGAAGTGAATGTGCTAATGCTACTCTCAGTGTTAGAGTGAGTTTCAAATAAAAGAGAACTAGCTTCGGCCAGGCGCGGTGGCTCACACCTGTAATCCCAGCACTTTGGGAGACTCAGGTGGTTGGATCACGAGGTCAGGAGATGGAGACCATCCTTGCTAACACGGTGAAACCCCATCTCTACTAAAAATACAAAAAATTAGCTGGGCGTGGTTGTGGGCGCCTGTAGTCCCAGCTACTCGGGAGGCTGAGGCAGGAGAGTGGCATGAACCCAGGAGGCGGAGCTTATAGTGAGCTGAGATAATAACACTGCACTCCAGCCTGGGCAACAGAGCGAGACTCTGTCGCAAAAAAAAAAAAAAAAAAAGAACTAACTTCATCAGGTTACCTGGTTTTTCCCATGGCTCTGAACAAGACTTGACTTAACTTTGTTTCTGTGTCTTGATAAGTGTTATGGGGGCCGGGCGCGGTGGCTCAAGCCTGTAATCCCAGCACTTTGGGAGGCCGAGACGGGTGGATCACGAGGTCAGGAGATCGAGACCATCCTGGCTAACACGGTGAAACCCCGTCTCTACTAAAAAATACAAAAAACTAACCGGGCGAGGTGGTGGGCGCCTGTAGTCCCAGCTACCCGGGAGGCTGAGGCAGGAGAATGGCGTGAACCCGGGAGGCGGAGCTTGCAGTGAGCTGAGATCCGACCACTGCACTGCACTCCAGCCTGGGTGACAGAGCGAGACTCTGCCTCAAAAAAAAAAAAAAAAAAAAAAAAAAAAAAAAAAAGTGTTATGGGATATGAAGTTCTTTGCTGTGTAACTGCAATCGCTGTTTTATATTTACATCTTTAACAGCTAGTCCTTATCGATCATGTGTCCATTTTCTTTTCTCTTACTGATGATACTGAATTGTTGTCTGTAGTACCGCCTCATTGACAGAACTTGTGCGTCTGGAAGGCAGGAACTGCCTTTTTGTTTTTTTTTTTTTTTTTGAGATAGTCTCACTCTGTTTCCTAGGCTGGGGTGCAGTGGCGCGATCTCAGCTTCCTGCAACCTCCCCCGCCCGGGTTCATGTGATTCTCCCACCTCAGCCTCCATGTAGCTGAGATTACAGGTGCGCGCCACCTAGCCCAGCCAATTTTTTTATTTTTAGTGGAGACGGTTTCACCATGTTGTCCAGACTGATCTCGAACTCCTGACCTCAGGTGATCCACCCGCCTCAGCCTCCCAAAGTGCTGGGACTACAGGCGTGAGCCACCGTAGTCGGTCGGCAGGAACTATCTTAATCTTTGTATTCCCAGTACCTAGTGTTGATCCTGGTCCATAGCAATTGCTGAATGCATGGTTGTTGACTGAATAATGTGTTCCTTTGTGGAACCAGCAGATTTGTATGTATTCCCTTAATTATCTTCCCTGCTTTGATAGGTTCTTTTTTCCTATTCCTTATAATACTTAATGTGTTGTATTTCTGGAAAGATTGATCTTCCCAACTACAGCATAATTTGCTTTGTGGCAAGAACCTTTTCTTTCTTTTTCTGAGGGGGGACAGAGTCTCACTCTGTCACCCAGGTTGGAGTGCAGTGGCACAATCTCAGGTCACTGCAACCTCAAACTCCTCGACTCAAGCAATCCTCCTACCTCAGCCTCCCAGGTAGCTGGGACTACAGGCACATGTGCCATCACGTCCAGCTAGTTTTTGTATTTTTTTGTGGGGACAGGGTTTCCCTGTGTTGCCCAGTCTGGTCTCGAGCTCCTGGCTCAAACGATCTACGTGCCTTGGCCTCCCAAAGTGCTGGGATTACAGGCGTGAGCCACCGCGCCTCGCCTCCAAGAACCTTTTCTCGCTCTGTCGCCCAGGCTGGAGCGCAGTAGCCGGATCTCAGCTCACTGCAAGCTCCGCCTCCTGGGTTTACGCCATTCTCCTGCCTCAGCCTCCCGGGTAGCTGGGACTACAGGCGCCCGCCACCTGACCCGGCTAGTTTTTTGTATTTTGTAGTAGAGACGGGGTTTCACCGCGTTAGCCAGGATGGTCACGATCTCCTGACCTCGTGATCCGCCCATCTTGGCCTCCCGAAGGGCTGGGATTACAGGCTTGAGCCACGGCGCCCAGCCCCAAGAACCTTTTCTTTTTTTTCTTTTTTTTTTTTTTTTGAGACGGAGTCTTGCTCTGTCGCCCGGGCTGGAGTGCAGTGGCCGGATCTCAGCTCACTGCAAGCTCCGCCTCCCGGGTTTAGGCCATTCTCCTGCCTCAGCCTCCCGAGTAGCGGGGACTACAGGCGCCCGCCACCTCGCCCGGCTAGTTTTTTGTGTTTTTAGTAGAGACGGGGTTTCACCGTGTTAGCCAGGATGGTCTCGATCTCCTGACCTCGTGATCCGCCCGTCTCGGCCTCCCAAAATGCTGGGATTACAGGCTTGAGCCACCGCGCCCGGCCAGAACCTTTTCTTAAAGCTTTATGTGTACTTAGGAAATTGTGCAGAAATTAATAACACAAGCTATGAGGCTGAGGAAGGGATTAAACTTGCTTGAAGGGTATCTTGTGATGGACATGTGGGTGTCAAAAGAAGGCTCATCCCTGCCTCTTTGTATCCTTAGCCCACTTATAAGAAGCGAAGGTTGGATGAGTGTGAAGAAGCCTTCCAAGGTAAGAGGCACCCTTACCTTACCTCTCCTCACCCCACCCCTGACTTGCAACCCTGAGAAGCAGGTGGATCTAGTTCTCCTGACCAGGAGGCAAGATCTGATCTTACTTCCCAGAGGTAGCATTCCCAGCTCCTCCAAACATGCTTGTTATTTAGTGCTCTAAACCTGGTTTTCCAATAAACAGAGGGTTTAAGACTTTTGTCATGTTTCAGATGTTCATCTGTTGTTCTTTTGTTCCATACATTCTCGTTGATTCTAATAATGGTGTCTTGGTAGGATTGTGACAAAGGCAGAGGTCATAGCATCTGATAGGTATAGGGAAAATGAGAGAGAGACAGGGGATGCTGTGTCCTTCCCTCTTCCCTGATCATTTGACCTTCATATCTCTGCCAGGAACCAAGGTGTTTGTGATGCCCAATGGGATGCTGAAAAGCAACCAGCAGCTGGTGGACATTATTGAGAAAGTGAAACCTGAGATCCGGCTGTTGATTGAGAAATGTAACACGGTGAGGCACAGGCTAGTGACCTATGGGCCGGCCCCAAGTACCCCACCTGAAGTGCAAGAAACAGTGGATGTACGGGTGGTATGGGAATTGGCAGACTAGATTTTTTTGTGTTTTTTTTTTTTTTTTGAGATGGGGTCTTGCTCCGTCACCCAGGTTGGAGTGCAGTGGCGCCATCTCGGCTCACTGCAACCCCTGCCTCCTGGGTTCAAGCGATTCTCCTGCCTCAGCCTCCTGAGTAGCTGGGATTACAGGTGCCTGCTAACACACCCAGCTACTTGTTGTGTTTTTAGTAGAGATAGGGTTTCACCATTTTGGCCATGGCTAGCCAGGCTGGTCTCGAACTCCTGACCTCAGGTGATCCACTCGCTTCAGGCTCCCAAATTGCTGGGATTACCGGTGTGAGCCACTGTGCCTGGCCAGACTAGGTATTTTGGCTTCTGTGTTCCTGGCATCTGGCCCCAGCCGTCTGAATTGTGTACTTAATGGCTTCAGCCTTCAGGCAAAGGTCCTCATATATGTTTTGACCTCCAGGTCAAAATGTGGGTACAGCTCCTGATTCCCAGGATAGAAGATGGAAACAACTTTGGGGTGTCCATTCAGGTAATGTACTTGAATTACAAACTGGGAAGAGCGGCTTGGGAGATACTCTCATCTCCCCTGTGTTAGCTTTTTTTCCTTTCTCCTTGGGGCTGCTGTGGATGTCATGGAAGTGGCTTTTGATGCACCTGTTGTTTGTTTGTTTTAGGAGGAAACAGTTGCAGAGCTAAGAACTGTTGAGAGTGAAGCTGCATCTTATCTGGACCAGATTTCTAGGTAGGGCTGCTTGGGCTTGGCCGAGGCATTGGGGGCTGATGAGGTGGTGGGCACCATCAAGGGTCTCCTGCAGCTTCCTCCTCTTCTCTCTCCTTTCAGATATTATATTACAAGAGCCAAATTGGTTTCTAAAATAGCTAAATATCCCCATGTGGTAAGTAAGTGGTTTGTGGCCTGAGGGTGGAGGTGGCAGGATAGTGAACAGTGACTGTTACTGGGAAGGAGCTATCTGGGAACAGTTGGGCCTTGGGGACTAGCTTTTTCCTCTACCCTCCTTGCAGGAGGACTATCGCCGCACCGTGACAGAGATTGATGAGAAAGAATATATCAGCCTTCGGCTCATCATATCAGAGCTGAGGAATCAATATGTGAGTAACCTCAGTCCTTGTCCATAGTTGCTGTGGCTTCACTTAGTTCTGTTGAGAGTATTCTTGAAATTCTCTGAAGGGCTGAGATGAGGGTCTGAGGTAAAATTAGTAGACCAAATTCTGTTCATCAACTGAGTGTTGAGAACCATGAAGTCCTCTAGCGGGGTGTCTCTCTTCTTTCTACCTGAGAGGCGGGGTGTGCAGTACAGTATGGTTAAGATATCGGTGTTAGAGTCAGACAGACTTAGGTTTGCAGCCAGGCTCTACCTGTATTGTGTGATCTCGAGCAAATTGTTTAAGCTCAAACTTCAATTTCTTCTTTAAAATGGGACTGGGCTGGGTGCAGTCGCTCATGCCTGTAATCCCAGCACTTCGGGAGGCCAAGCCAGGTGGATTACCTGAGGTCAGGAGTTTGAGACCAGCCTGACCAACATGGTGAAACCTTGTCTCTACTAAAAATACAAAATTAGCTGGGCGTGGTGGCATATGGCTGTAATCCCAGCTACTTGGGAGGCTGAGGCAGGAGAATCACTTGAACCCGGGAAGTGGAGTTTACGGTGAGCCAAGAGCGTGCCATTGCACTCCAGCCTGGGCAACAAGAGTGAAACTCCGTCTCAGAAAAAATAAAAATAAAAATAGGCCCGGTGTGGTGGCTCACGCCTGTAATATCAGCACTTTGGGAGGCCGAGGCGGACATATCACTTGAGGTCAGGAGTTTGAGACCAGCCTGACCAACATGGAAAAACCCTGTCTTTATTAAAAATACAAAAAAAAATTGGCCGGGCATGGTGGCACATGCCTGTAATCCTAGCTACTTGGGATGCTGAGGCAGGAGAATTGCTTGAACCCGGGAGGCGGAGGTTGCAGTGAGCCGAGATTGTGCCCCTGGACTCCAGCCTGGGCAATAAGAGCGAAACTCAGCCTCAAATAAAAATAAAAATTAAAAAAATAAAATGGGACTGAAGAGGCCGGGTGTGGTGGATCACACCTGTAATGCCAGTACTGTGGGAGGCTGAGGCAGAGAGATCACATGAGGTCAGGAGTTTGAGACCAGCCTGGCCAACATGGTGAAACCCCATCTGTACTGAAAATACAAAAAATTAGCTGGGCATGGTTGGTGGACCCCTGTAATCCCACCTAATTGGGAGGCTGAGGCAGGAGAATCGCTTGAATCCAAGAGGCGGAGGTTGCAATAAGCCAAGATTGTGCCACTGCACTCCAACCTGGGCAACAGGAGCGAAACTCCGTCTCAAAAAAAAAAAAAAAAAAGAAAAGAACTGAAGAGTACCTACTCACAAAATTCATTCAATCTTAAAATAAGTGAGATAACACATTGAAGAACCTGGTACAATTCTTACTATGTTAAGTGCACAATACCTGTTAGTTGCTACTAGACACTTGGAGCCTTGGAAATACCCATTTACACCCAGTTGAAGTATAAGAGAGGTGGTGCTGCCACCCTGAATGCAGGCTCAAGTGAGATTAAAATTACAGTAAATTGGCCGGGAACGGTAGCTCACATCTGTAATCCCAGCACTTTGGGAGGCTGAGGTGGGCATTTCACGAGGTCAGGAGATCGAGACCATCCTGGCTAACACGGTGAAACCCCGTCTCTACTAAAAATACAAAAAATTAGCTGGGCGTGGTGGCGGGCGCCTATAGTCCCAGCTACTTGGGAGGCTGAGTCAGGAGAATGGAGTGAACCTGGGAGGCAAAACTTGAAGTGAACCGAGATCGTGCTGCTGCACTCCAGCCTGGGTGACAGAGCAAGACTCTGTCTCAAAAAAAAAAAAAAAAAAAAAAAAATTACAATAAGTCCTCACCTAATGTTGTCCATAGATTTTTACAAACTGTGACTTTAAAAATGATGTATATCAAAACCAAGTTTTTTTAATTAACATTGTAACAAAATGATGTTATTTAAATCCAGGTTATTTGAGGACCTTCTGTACTTGATTTGCTCATCTGCTTAAAGTCGCAGTTACTAAGAACCTATTGATGACATTAAGGGCTTACTGTATGCAGATGATTGCTTGGGGATTTGTAGAGGGGTCTGTCACTTTCTTGGTGAGGTAAGGGTTGTACAGATATGTGATTTCCCTGATCCTTCTTCTCCCAGGTCACTCTACATGACATGATCCTGAAAAATATCGAGAAGATCAAACGGCCCCGGAGCAGCAATGCAGAGACTCTGTACTGAGGCCAGGGCCAGGGCCAGGGGACTCTGTGAGTCTGGCTCAAGACCGACATTGCCTTGGTTTGTTACATGACTATCGTGATGGGGAAACTGGCTGGAAATAGTAATCACACCTCTCTGTTTTTAGTTAGAGTCTAATGAAACTCTCATCTAGTTCTGTGATGTGTTTACCTCTTTTTTCAGGCCTCAGGAACTCTTCTATTTCCTTCCCTAATACCCCACACCCAACCTGTCGTAATTTCTGGAAAACTCCAGGTTTGTGTGTGCAGGATGTTGGCACAAAAATACTTGTGTTTTCACTCTCCTCCTCTCTCCCTCCTGTGTCTTGCGCTGTATGTTTTCTTCCTTTTGATAATTAGTTGGTTAAAAGCTGAAGGGAACCGGAAGGAAAGTGCTAGGTGTTTTTTAGGAACTAGGGTGGTGGGGGGATGAACTTCTCTTCCTCACATGAGGTTACTGTTTCTTTCCTCTGTGGGGCATTGGATCCTTCCACAGTTGCCCTGGTGATGACTTCGGGCTTTGCATCTGTGTACATCCCACCTTGAATCTTGATCATGACAAGAAACACGTTAGGCCTTCAGTCAATTCCCAAGCTCCTTCCGATGTTTTTATAATGGGCGTTTTCGCATGCACATATGTGTATGTACGTATACACCCATACAGACATGCACACACACACTCCTACTCCATTAGCTCCTCCCTCTCCACAATCCCTGTCATGTACCTTTCAGGAGGTGATGGTTGTCTTAGTTGTCATCTACCCAAACAAACGTCCTGGGCCCGTCCTCCCTCCTGATACTGTAGCCTCTTGGTACCTAGGGTGAGTTGGTGGAGAACAGAGAGATGAGAAGCAGAGGGCTTGGGGAAGGCCTGTTCCTCTCTGACTCAGCCCTTTTTGGCATTATTGCAAAAGCTTGACTCCTGGTTGCCTTTTCCCAGCCAGTTGTCAGTCGGGGTGAAGATGTCTGCAAGTATGAGGTCTGGACGCTGCTGCTCATGTTGGGCTTTCCTTTTGGGAAATATTTCTCTTATTTATAGTGTCGGGCTTCTGGGGAAAGCAATCATTGGTGTGTATGTGTATGTGCACGCACACACATACATATACACGTTTGTGTATGTGGAAATGCGCTGGGCAAGTCAAAGCTATAGAAGAGTTGCCTCCTGTCTCTCGAATCTTCCAGAGATATCACTTAACTGTTAACAGCTTTCGTGTTAATCCCCGTCAGCCCCCAGCTCTTTTATTCTACCACGGCTGGAGAGTTGATACCTGCAGTCAGCCTGCCAGTAACTCTTAGTGTCTGTTTCTGACTTATTCTTCCTGTCTCTGTCTTCCAACCCCCAATAATATTTCCACCTAGGATGCATCATTTGTACTCCCGATACTCTGTAGAGAAGGAGTCAGGATGCTGTCTTCCCACGAATAGTACTCAGTAACAAACCAACTGCATTTTAGTTGGGCAGTGCTCCCACCCACCCTTCAGATCCCTTCCAGCTAAAACCCTTCCCCCTTCCCTCCATGTGTTTCTCAGTTCCCCGTTCTGTTTGTTGGATTGTTCCACTGCCCCTCCTCCTCACCCTACCACCCTTGGATCGTAATGTAAAATTCTTTTACCATGTCAAGAAATTATTAAAAATACAGGTACTTTGACCTCTTTCTAAAGCCGCAGACCCTGGTGCAATGCTCTGGTGGCTAGGGACGTACTCATGCTTGCATGTGTGCACTCGGACACCCACCTCCATGGACACCTAGCCACCCTGTTGTGTGTCCTTATGCCAGTTGAGCTGAATCTTTTCCCCAGTATAGTGGAAAGACTGAGGCTTCTGCCTACTGAGCTAGGGTGGGTGCTTTATTTGTGTTCAGTCTGAATTACGGGAAAGTTAGCTCTTCCCAGACCTAAGCTGCCTTCTTTCCCTACTTTCAGAAGATCCTAGTTCCTTCTTCCTGAGTGATACCCGTGAGCTGCCAGTAGAGGCTGCTATCGCTCCATGTGTAAGGAATGACCTGGTTCAAGGCATGTCCTGCCCAATCATTTTCTTTACCTTATACTAATTCTCCCTGAATAATGTCTTCAGTTTCTTGAGGAGACTCATAGTTTTGGTTTTCAAATTACTTGGAGGGCTGCCTAGGAATCTATCTCCCTCTGAAATAAAAGTTTCCTCAACTTGCACCTTGCAAGTAGCCTTCTGATTTCCAATGATCCCCTCGTTGTCTCTGTAAAAAGAGTTTAAGGTCTTGAACAATGGAGGAGCAGCTGCTCTGTTCTGTTTCAGAGATGACTACCAAAAGCTAGTGGTTTGTGAGTGCCTCCCCTGTGCCAGGCTGTTAAGTACCTAATGTGCATGATCACATTTAATCTTTAGGAATCTGTAGGGTAGTTGTATCTATTTGTTACAGATGAGGACACTGAGACTCAGGATAAGTATTTCCACTAAGGTTACACAGCTGAGGGAACTGGGATTGGTGGACAAACCTGATTACTAAGCCCAGGCTCTCAGCCACTCCACTGGATGGAAAAGGCCTGACTACAAATCAAGGGCTTGGCATTAGGCAACAGGCAGAATTCAGTGCTTACTGCTGAACATGGCAGTGAATCCTGGAGTTGTTGGGATGCAGTTCCTGCCAGGAGGTAGGAAAATGGACAGCTCAGTGCTTGCATGCAGGCTGCAGAACTTAATTAGGCATCTGAGGTTTGTACTCTTCCTGAGACCCATTCCGGGTGGAAACTGGAGGTTAGCATCGTTAACCCAGATTCCCTTTCATCTGGTCTAAATGGTGAAAATCAGTAGTTGGTACTGACTGCTACCAGTGGGAGTTCAGGGGCAATGAAGAGGCTATGCATGTGGAAGCAGTGCCTTGGGCCAAACCACAGGACAGAAAATTGGAACAGAATTACATAAATCAAGGTCAGAAATTTCCTGCCCAACCCATGGGGTGGAGTTTTCTCCATTCCTATCCATCCTAGTGAATATAAACCCCGACTTGATGTCAGTAACTGGAAGGAGCGGCTGTTAGAACTCTGATTTCAGCTCTCAGCATCCACTATGCATCTCAAGATAGTCCTGGCGTTCCTGGCACTGTCCCTCATTACCATCTTTGCCCTGGCCTATGTTTTGCTGACCAGCCCAGGTGGTTCCAGCCAGCCTCCCCACTGCCCCTCTGTATCCCATAGGGCCCAGCCCTGGCCACACCCTGGCCAGAGCCAGCTATTTGCAGACCTGAGCCGAGAGGAGCTGACAGCTGTGATGCGCTTTCTGACCCAGCGGCTGGGGCCCGGGCTAGTGGATGCAGCCCAGGCTCAGTCCTCGGACAACTGCATCTTCTCAGTGGAGCTGCAGCTGCCCCCCAAGGCTGCAGCCCTGGCCCACCTGGACAGGGGGAGCCCCCCACCTGCCCGAGAGGCACTGGCAATCGTCCTCTTTGGTGGACAACCCCAGCCCAATGTGAGTGAGCTGGTGGTGGGGCCGCTGCCTCACCCCTCCTACATGCGGGACGTGACTGTGGAGCGTCACGGCGGGCCCCTGCCCTATCACCGTCGCCCAGTGCTGAGAGCTGAGTTTACGCAGATGTGGAGGCATCTGAAAGAGGTGGAGCTACCCAAGGCACCCATCTTCCTGGCTTCCACCTTCAACTACAATGGCTCTACCTTGGCAGCTGTGCATGCCACCCCTCGGGGCTTGCGCTCGGGGGACCGAGCTACCTGGATGGCCCTCCACCATAACATCTCAGGTGTTGGTCTTTTCCTTCACCCCGTGGGGCTGGAGCTACTACTGGACCACAGGGCCCTGGACCCTGCCCACTGGACTGTCCAGCGGGTCTTCTACCTTGGGCACTACTATGCAGACTTGGGCCAGTTGGAACGGGAGTTTAAGTCTGGCCGGTTGGAAGTGGTTAGAGTTCCTCTACCTCCACCAAATGGAGCTTCATCCCTGAGGTCTCGGAACTCTCCAGGTCCTCTTCCGCCTCTTCAGTTCTCACCCCAGGGTTCCCAGTACAGTGTGCAGGGAAACTTGGTGGTATCCTCCCTCTGGTCATTTACCTTTGGCCATGGGGTGTTCAGCGGCCTGAGGATTTTTGATGTTCGGTTCCAGGGTGAGCGAGTAGCCTATGAAGTCAGTGTCCAGGAGTGTATGTCTATCTATGGTGCCGATTCACCCAAGACGATGCTGACTCGCTATTTGGATAGCAGCTTTGGACTTGGCCGTAACAGCCGAGGCTTGGTGCGGGGAGTGGACTGCCCCTATCAAGCCACGATGGTGGACATCCATATATTAGTGGGCAAAGGGGCAGTCCAGCTGCTTCCGGGGGCTGTGTGTATATTTGAGGAAGCCCAGGGACTGCCCCTCCGAAGGCACCACAATTACCTTGAAAATCATTTCTATGGTGGTTTGGCCAGCTCAGCCCTTGTGGTCAGGTCTGTGTCATCTGTGGGCAACTATGACTACATTTGGGACTTTGTGTTGTACCCAAACGGGGCACTTGAAGGGCGGGTCCATGCCACGGGTTATATCAACACAGCTTTCCTGAAAGGGGGAGAGGAGGGCCTCCTCTTTGGGAACCGTGTGGGGGAACGAGTGCTGGGAACGGTGCACACACATGCCTTCCACTTCAAGCTGGACCTGGACGTGGCAGGTGAGTGCTGAGGGATGAGGGCTTGGGGGTGGGGTCAGGTGGGGTGGAGGGAAGGGAAGGGAAGGGAATCTCCCAGGTCAAGCTCAGATAAGTGGCAAGAGCGGGGTGTTCCAGCACCACAGCTCTAGTGGCAACAGGACAGGGACTGTTTGAGCACATTCAGTGCAGTCAGTCTGGTACTGGGCTACTGGGTATCTGGCAAAAGGTGAAAAGGGTTCCCCCGCCTAGCCCCTCTGACTTCCTGCGATTGTGAAATCAGTTTAAATGTAATGGCTGGGCATGATTGCCTACTAGTTTAAATGTAATGGCTGGGCATGATTGCCTTAGCCTTAAGTGACACTGGGTGGGTGAACTGGCCCAATGGGGCTGGAGTTGGAACACTTTGCTTCTTCCTAATTCTGAGGGTCAGTGAGGGTGGGGAGGGCAGGGTCCTGAGCCGAGGTCAGAAGCAGTCTGTTCAGAGTCTTCAGGGTCGGGGTGGACCTGGGGCTTGGGAAGGGGAGGGTACCAAAGCTGGGGTTGCTCCCCATGATAGGGCCACTCCTTGTCAGGAGGGTCATCCCATTCCTGTCATCACTGTTGACTCATGGCAGGCACACAGTCAGCTTGCTGCAAGTATGGAAAGAGATTTCTCAAGCACAAAGAGCTCAAAGCACACAGAGGACTTGCTGTTCCTGACAGACTTTGTCAAGGACAGAAAGGAACTTACAGACTCACAGACTTTTAGATCCACAAAGAAAATTAGAAACTCACCAGACCCTCCCCATTTTAAGGGAAACTAAAGAGGGTGGCGGGAAATGGGACAGGAAATGACTGCCCAGGTATAATGCAACATAAACTAGTATTTCTTGTGAAATGTTTTCTTATCCTCAAGTCTAAAGACATGGCACGTGCATGCCTGCGTGTGTCTGTGTGCATGCCCTTGCGCTTGCGTTCGCAGTGGCGTGGAGGGTAGGGAAGACTAATAGCATGATTGAAATGACCATTTTTTAACTAGATTACTCTTTGACACACTTGGATTTTGACTTGTCTTCTGATTGGAAGTTTTTTTCAGCATCTTTGGCATTAAAGAACCTTGCTTTGGGAAGTAACATTTATTGGACTCCTAGCATGTGCAGCATGGGCTGCTGCTGCTGTGGGCCAGAGAGGCTGTGTCAGGCACCAGCGCACAGGATGGCTGCAGAGGCACCAGCTTCAGTGCAGTCCCTCCTGTGCCAGGCGCCTTCATATAGGTCTCGTTGAAAGGAACTAACAGTCCAGACCTACAGAAAGTGTATGACCAAATGCTGAGTTAGGCGATGCAGGTTATGGATGCTGTAGAATTCCAAGGAGCTCCCAGACAAAGGTATGAATGTGCTTGCTTCTGAAAAAGACTGACAGTACTTCCCACCTTGCTGAGATCGAAAGTGAAGCCTCAGAGCTGGGAGGAGTATGCAGGGGACCATGGGAAGGGATTGGGTTTTCATTTTTTGAGGCAGAGTCTCACTCTCACCCATGCTGGTGTGCAGTAGTGCAATCACAGGTTACTGCAGCCCCAACCTCCTGGTCTCAAGCAATCCTCCTGCCTCAGCCTCCTGAGTAGCTGGGATGACAGGCACACACTACCACACCCAGTTGTGGGTTTTTTTTGTTTTTTGTTTTGGAGACAGAGTTTCACTCTGTTGCCCAGGCTGGAGTGCAGTGGTGCAATCTCAGCCCATTGCAACCTCCACCTCCCAGGTTCAAGCGATTCTTGTGTCTCAGTTCAAGTGATTCTTGTGTCTTGGCCTCCAGAGTAGCGGGGATTACACGCGCACACCACCACACCTGGTTTTTTTTTTTTTTTTTTTTTTTCTTTTTAAGTAGAGATGGGGATTCACCATGTTGGCCGGGCTCGTCTTGAACTCCAGTCTCAAGTGAGCCACTCGCCTTGGCCTCCCAAAGTGCTGTGAGCTACCATGCCTGGCATTTGTTTGTTTGTTTAAGTTTTTTTAAATTTTTTTTTATTTTTTAAAGAGGCAGTGTTTCATTCTGTTACCCTAGCTGGTCTCCAGCACCTGGGCTCAAGGGATCTGCACCATCCTGCCACCAGCCTCCCAAGTTGCAAGCTGCCACACCTGGCTCCGGAGTCAGTTTTTCAACTTGCTTCTCCACGACAAGTATCATTATCATTATCCCTTTCATAGTTAAACGAATGTCATCAGTCAGCTGCGTGTGCTTTTCTGTTTATTGGGCACAGCCATAGAACAGCTTTAATTATGCCCAGTGTAGGGATTCAGAAAGTGAATCGGAGAAGCAGATTGGTCCAGGGACTGTTTGGTAGTCCAGTGCTAATAGAACTTTCTGCAGTGATAGAAATGTTCTGTGCTTGTGTTGTAGCTCTAAACAGTAGCCACTAGCCATGTATGGTAAGTGGGCACTTTAAATGTGGCTAGTGTGACTGAGGAACTGATTTTTTTTTTTTTTTTTTTGAGACAGGGTCTTGCTCTGTTGCCCAGGCTGGAGTGCTGTGGTGTGACCTCAGCTCACTGCAACCACAACCTCCTGGGCGCAAGCAGTCCTCCCACCCCAGCTTCCCAAGTAGCTGGGACCACAGGCATGTGCCACCATGCCTGGCTGATTTTTTTATTGTTTATAGAGTCAGGGTTTCACCACGTTGCACAGGCTGGTCTCAAACTCCTGGGCTCACGTGATCCACCCGCCTCAGCCTCCCAAAGTGCTGGGATTGCAACTGTGAGCCACCTCAGCTGGCCCTGAATTTTAATTTTCATAGCCACGTGTGGCTAGTGGTTACCCTATTGGACAAGGCAAGTTGGAAGAACACAGGAACTTGCGCTTGCCCAGACCTGGCTCCCAGCACGGTGTGCTCTGATGCTCTCTCTGCCTTTTGTTACGCCAGTGCAGTGGACATCATGTGGAAGACAGGGACCTGGCCCAGAGACCTTACCTGGTGTGGAACTCATCTCCCTTCCCTCCCCCTGGCAGGGCTGAAAAACTGGGTGGTAGCTGAAGACGTGGTGTTTAAACCTGTGGCTGCCCCCTGGAACCCGGAGCACTGGCTACAGCGCCCACAGCTGACTCGGCAGGTCCTGGGAAAGGAGGACCTGACAGCTTTTTCCTTGGGAAGCCCCTTACCCCGTTACCTCTACCTGGCTAGCAACCGGACTAATGCCTGGGGTCACCAGCGCGGGTACCGAATCCAGATCCACAGCCCCCTTGGCATACACATACCCCTGGAGAGTGACATGGAGAGGGCCCTCAGCTGGGGGAGGTGAGGAGGGCCCTGGCCTGGGTGGAAGGAAAGGACTGCCCCTCACCTACCCCAGCCCTTGGAGACAAACTCCCTGCCCATGGCTACCTGTACCTCCCCTCAAACCCAAGTTAGATACACGGTGGGAAATGGTCTCACACAGAATCGGATCTAAGTGACTTCTGGGCCAGGAAAGGCACCTGACATCTTCCAACACCACCTTCTTACGATTCCTGGTCAGATACCAGCTTGTGGTGACCCAGAGAAAGGACGAGGAATCACAGAGCAGTAGCATCTATCACCAGAATGACATCTGGACACCCACAGTTACCTTTGCTGACTTCATCAACAATGAAACCCTCTTAGGAGAGGTTGGTTGCCCTAGGGACATAGGAAAGGGACACCTGTGGGCATGGTGTCTTGGCTGCCCAGCCTCTGGCCAGAGGTTAGAGGGAATGGCTGATTTCCAGTTCACAGATTCAGAGGCCATGGAGTTTTCTGATGACCAACACAGGTCATCCCTCCTGGGGTGAGATTAGCTCTGGGACACTGGCTCCCCCTCTCCCCGCATAGCTGCTTACATAGATTGTGCCATGTGTTGTATGGGCATGAGGCTAGGCAGAGTGGAAGCCAGGCTGAGACTGCAGGCTGGGATTGTGGCTGAATGGTGGTTCTTTGGGTCTTGCTTCCATAGTCCTCCAGCTCCTCCCTCTTCCTGCAGGATCTGGTGGCTTGGGTCACAGCCAGCTTCCTGCACATTCCCCATGCCGAGGACGTCCCCAACACGGTGACTCTGGGGAACAGAGTTGGCTTCTTGCTCCGACCCTATAACTTCTTTGATGAGGACCCCTCCATCTTCTCCCCTGGCAGTGTCTACTTTGAGAAGGGCCAGGATGCTGGGCTCTGCAGCGTCAATCCTGTGGCCTGCCTCCCCGACCTGGCAGCCTGTGTCCCGGACTTACCCCCTTTCTCTTACCAAGGCTTCTAGTCCTGAGGGTGTGGCGAGGGGCATGGTTAGGCACATGTACCTTTCCCTGTTTCTACTTCTGTTCCCGGTGTTTTTCACACCTGCTCCCCAGATTCCCCACCCTTCAATGTTTCTCTCACATGAAAACCCCGTTAGTCCCTTTGGTTAATTCTTACTTCCTGTTCATCTCTAAAATGTTAAATTATAAAAATGATTTAAAAATATTCAAACAAAAATACCACAAATCCTACTACTCAGAAATAGGTGGTGTTCACATTACACCAGACATCTTTTTATGCATGTGCATTCAAAAGGAAGAGTAGATAGAATTTTGTAAAACAGATGTTATATGTAATTTATAATAAAAAGTATTAGAGGAATTTTACTTGAATTTATTATTTGACCTTTTAAGTAGCTAGAGTCCCCTGGAGCATACTAAGGACTCTGGCCAGGGAAATTGGCAGTGGGGGACAGAGGGCAAGGGAGATAGACCTGGCCAAGGAATGTTGTTTGGAAAGCTGAAGGGGCAGGGGTGGGGGTCTTTGAAAGGAGAACAATAGTTTGAAGTTACAGGAAAACATCTGGCCCTGACTAAGTGCAGGGTTGGGGAAGAAGCTGGGCTGAGGGGAAGAGAGGCTGCTCTGCACAGATCCTACTCCTTCCCGGCACTGTATTATCTTGAAATCTTCCTTCCCCTTCCCCCTAGCCCCAACTCTCCCCAACTCCAACCCTGACCCAGAAAGTAGTCTGATTTGGAGCCTGGAAGACAAAACCATGTAAGGTCTGTGGAAATCACAGCTGCTTAGACCCGCCTCCAACCCCAGCCACCCCGCCCCCTTGCCCCAGCCTTCCTGTGTCCTTCCCACCCTTAGTCCCAGGCATCTGACTACCGGGAACCTCAGCCAGAGTCCGGGAGCCCCCCCGTCCAGGAGCCAACAGAGCCCCCGTCGTGCTGGCGTGAGAACACATTGCTCTCCTTTGGTTGGATCCAGTGCCCCTCTTCATGGGAAAATGAACCAGAAGACCATCCTGGTGTTCCTCATTCTGGCTGTCATCACCATCTTTGCCTTGGTTTGTGTCCTGCTGGTGGGCAGGGGTGGAGATGGGGGTGAACCCAGCCAACTTCCCCATTGCGCCTCCATATCTCCCAGTGCCCAGCCTTGGACACACCCTGGCCAGAGCCAACTGTTTGCAGACCTGAGCCGAGAGGAGCTGACAGCTGTGATGCACTTTCTGACCCAGCGACTGGGGCCAGGGCTGGTGGATGCGGCCCAGGCCCGGCCCTCGGACAACTGTGTCTTCTCAGTGGAGCTACAGTTGCCTCCCAAGGCTGCAGCCCTGGCTCACCTGGACAGGGGGAGCCCCCCACCTGCCCGGGAGGCACTGGCCATTGTCTTCTTTGGCAGGCAACCCCAGCCCAACGTGAGTGAGCTGGTGGTGGGGCCACTGCCTCACCCTTCCTACATGCGGGACGTGACCGTGGAGCGTCATGGAGGCCCCCTGCCCTATCACCGACGCCCCGTGCTGTTCCGAGAGTACCTGGACATAGACCAGATGATCTTCGACAGAGAGCTGCCCCAGGCTTCTGGGCTTCTCCACCACTGTTGCTTCTATAAGCGCCGGGGACGGAACCTGGTGACAATGACCACGGGTCCCCGTGGTCTGCAATCAGGGGACCGGGCCACCTGGTTTGGCCTCTACTACAACATCTCAGGGGCTGGGTTCTTCCTGCACCCCGTGGGCTTGGAGCTGCTAGTGAACCACAAGGCCCTGGACCCTGCCCGCTGGACCATCCAGAAGGTGTTCTATCAAGGCCGCTACTACGACAGCTTGGCCCAGCTGGAGGCCCAGTTTGAGGCCGGCCTTGTGAACGTGGTGCTGATCCCAGACAATGGCACAGGTGGGTCCTGGTCCCTGAAGTCCCCTGTGCCCCCGGGTCCAGCTCCCCCTCTGCAGTTCCATCCCCAAGGCCCCCGCTTCAGTGTCCAGGGAAGTCGAGTGGCCTCCTCACTGTGGACTTTCTCCTTTGGCCTCGGAGCATTCAGTGGCCCAAGGATCTTTGACGTTCGCTTCCAGGGAGAAAGACTAGTTTATGAGATCAGCCTCCAAGAAGCCTTGGCCGTTTATGGTGGAAATTCCCCAGCAGCAATGATGACCCGCTATGTGGATGGAGGCTTTGGCATGGGCAAGTACACCACGCCCCTGACCCGTGGGGTGGACTGCCCCTACCTGGCCACCTACGTGGACTGGCACTTCATTTTGGAGTCCCAGGCCCCCAAGACAGTACGTGATGCCTTTTGTGTATTTGAACACAACCAGGGCCTCCCCCTGCGGCGGCACCACTCAGATCTCTACTCCCACTACTTTGGGGGCCTTGCAGAAACAGTGCTGGTCGTCAGATCTGTGTCCACCTTGCTCAACTATGACTATGTGTGGGATATGGTCTTCCACCCCAGTGGGGCCATAGAAACCCGATTCTATGCCACGGGCTACATCAGCTCAGCATTCCTCTTTGGTGCTACCGGGAAGTACGGGAACCAAGTTGCAGAGCACACCCTGGGCACGGTCCATACCCACAGCGCCCACTTCAAGGTGGATCTGGATGTAGGAGGTAAAACATTTTGGTGGGGAGAAGGCTTGTGGAAGAAGGGCTGAAAAGTTGTTTCCATTTGCTTTGGGTTTTGTGTAGATTATCCCAGAAAGGAAGATGTGGATTTTTGTGCTTCCCTTTTTGCTAGATGGGAGAGAGTTGGCAGCTGAGTTTTATTTGGATCTTAGCTCACTGGCTGGGTGCAAAGCTGCAGCCTTCCTCCACGTGACCTCATCAGAAGATCTTGGGAAATGGCCAAGCTCAGGGAGGAGGCAGGATCTGGGCTAACAGGGTTCCCATTGCCCTCTTCCCTCCCTTGTACTTATATGGGCTCCGCTGCTGGGAGCAGCCTTCTGTTTGTCAGCTCATTTCTGTGTCTGGCCTGTGGTGCTGGTGTGTTGGAGGATCTCTTTGCATTCTACCAAGTCCCTGGCGTGTGCAGGTCCGTCATTCCAGGTTGTACATTTCCTTTGGAGGTGGACCCTCCTCCTCCCTGATTTTCCTTCTTTCTCTGGTCACAATTCACAATCCATGTGAGGGTCACATGGAGCCTGTAGAGCATTCTGGATAGATCCTGGAGTCTGGTCACAGAGAGCCAAGGCTACATGATGGCTTGAAGTCTTCATCTTTGTCTTTTCACTGTCCTTCCCCACATTGAGTCAGTCACCAGGTGTTTTTTTTTCTTTCTTTCTATTCTGCACCTGCAGTATCTCGCTGGGTCACACTGCCATGCCCTGCAGGTGCCAGCCCTCTTTCTGCTGTTTCTGCTCTTGTTGCTCTGAGATCCAAGAGCCATTCTGCACCCAGAGGGCCTCCCATCCACACCAGCCTGCCTTTTACTCAGCTCTCACATTCCTCATCACCTGTGGGATCCTGTCCGCAGAAGTCCCTCCAAACTCTTTCTTTCACAGTGCAGCTCCAACCTGCCCTGCCGTGCTCTGCACAGCTATACCCACATACTCCATGTCCATGGACACGCACTTCACACGTTACAGTCAGGCATCCTCTTGTTTGCTTATGCTTTGTCTCTGCTTAGAATGTCCTTCCATGTCATCTCTTCTGGTAATATCCTTTAAGGCCAGGCTGAAAAGTTGCCCGGAAGGGCCCCCTTTTCCTGCCTGCGAGTGTATTCCTGTGGCCCGGAAGCTGCCTAGGCCATGCTCCTCCCACAGGACAGGCCAGTCATTGGTTTGCCTGTCTGCGTGGAAAGCGAGAGGGTAAGGATGATGTTCATTCCTCTCTATCCCCAGGGGCGAGCACAGTCCTCTCTGCTAATGAATGTTGAAAGAATGAATGAGTGAAATGGAATGAAATCCCTGATGAAATATTTTAATTTATAGGTCCACAGCTTTGGCTGAAGGATTGGAGGTATCTTGGGGAGAGGGAAGAGAAGCAGGGGCACACTCAGTTCTGGGCTGCTCTTTGGCCCCCAGTCTGAAGCCAGGTGGAGGCAGAGTCCAGAGGGGCCAGGGCGGTTGCATGACAGGCCCTCCCCCATCCCACCCTGAGCAGGACTGGAGAACTGGGTCTGGGCCGAGGATATGGTCTTTGTCCCCATGGCTGTGCCCTGGAGCCCTGAGCACCAGCTGCAGAGGCTGCAGGTGACCCGGAAGCTGCTGGAGACAGAGGAGCAGGCTGCCTTCCTCGTGGGAGGTGCCACCCCTCGCTACGTGTACCTGGCCAGCAACCACAGCAACAAGTGGGGCCACCTGCGGGGCTACCGCATCCAGGTGCTCAGCTTTGCTGGAGAGCCGCTGCCCCAAAACAGCTCCATGGCGAGAGGCTTCAGCTGGGAGAGGTGAGTGGTGGGCAGTCAGAGAGGAGGGGGACAGTGAGAGTGGGAAAGGGGTGTTGGCGGACACTCAGCTCACCCTGTATGTGAGGGGAGAGATCTCTCAGGAAGATTTTTCTTTTCTTTTCTTTTCTTTTTTTTGAGATGGAGTCTTGCTCTGTCCCCCAGGCTGGAGTGCAGTGGCGCCATCTCACTGCATCTTCCACCTCCCAGTTTCAAGTGATTCTCCTGCCTCAGCCTCCCCAGTAGCTGGGATTATAGGCATACGCCACCACACCTGGCTAATTTTTGTGTTTTTAGTAGAGACAGGGTTTCACCGTGTTGGCCAGGCTGGTCTCGAACTCCTGACCTCGTGATCCACCTGCCTTGGCCTCCCAAAGTGTTGTGATTGCAGGCACGAGCCGCCACGCCTGGCCAAAGCTTTTTCTAGTTATCCGAAGAAACCATGATGGGCACATTTTCCCCTTGGAGGCTAAAGCCCAGGAGTGAGAACTCTCTTCTGTTTTGGATGGGAGAGGGGTTGTGCTGTGAAATGGCTGGGGATAAACAGGAGGACTTGACCCCCCTTAGGGTGTCTTCGGGGATTCTGTAGCACCGAGTCAGTTGTGTCAATGCAGTTGGGGAAGCTGAGCTCTGAGCACTCGGTTCCCTTTCGTCACAATCAGGCAGCAGGATGGGGTCAATGGCCATGGAGGCCTGACCAGTGCCTCCCTAGGTACCAGCTGGCTGTGACCCAGCGGAAGGAGGAGGAGCCCAGTAGCAGCAGCGTTTTCAATCAGAATGACCCTTGGGCCCCCACTGTGGATTTCAGTGATTTCATCAACAACGAGACCATTGCTGGAAAGGTCAGCTGGCCGGGGCAGAGGGCACAGGATGAGCCTTACTTTCTCTTGGGAGGGTCCCTGAAAACCACCTGCACTTCTCAGGGGTGGTGCTAATTCCTGCCTTCTGCACTTCAGTAGGTCTGATCACTATCCTTTGAGGGAACCTTTCTGAGCTGGGTGTCCGTATTCAGACACTGAGTGAGACCCTGGGCCTGTCCTTGAGATCTTAGAGCCCTCTTAGTTCCAGTTTCATGGACTGAGTCCTTTCCAGGCTCCAGGACTCAGGAGGGATGGAAGTTACCAGGGAAAATGACATCTCCTGTATCTGAAGCTTCTCCCATTCCTGACTTGAATTTCACACTGTTGGCCTAGTTCTGCTTCCCAAGCGCTGGTTCTCACTCCTCCACCCTTCTTCCCTCAGTTGAGGGGAACTCTTGGAGAGTTAGGAGAAGAGGAGCTGAAGTAGCCTGTGGGTGTCACCCTCTGGGGGTAGGTAGGCAGTGGGCGATATGATGGGAAATGTCGGAGATGGAGGCTGCAAGCCAGGGACAGGGAGGAAGGTGTTCCTAATATGAAATGGACTACTTATGCTTTGACTTCTATCCAGTAGGAAAAAATGTTTAAAGACTCACGATCCTTGGGCTGGTGAGCTGAATCCCTACCAGGGCATGTCCTCAGCAAAGCCAGACCTCGTGACCCTCTTTCTTCTCCCCTGCTAGGACTTGGTGGCCTGGGTGACAGCTGGTTTTCTGCACATCCCACATGCAGAGGACATTCCTAACACGGTGACTGTGGGGAACGGCGTGGGCTTCTTCCTCCGACCCTACAACTTCTTTGACGAAGACCCCTCCTTCTACTCTGCCGACTCCATCCACTTCCGAGGGGACCAGGATGCTGGGGCCTGTGAGGTCAACCCCCTAGCTTGCCTGCCCCAGGCTGCTGCCTGTGCCCCTGACCTCCCTGCCTTCTCCCACGGGGGCTTCTCTCACAACTAGGCAGTCCCTGGGATGGGGCATGTGGCCAAGGGCTCCAGGGCCAGGGTGTGAGGGACAGGGAGCAGCTGGGCACTGGGCCGGCAGCCTGGTCCCCTCTTCCCTGCGCCAGGACCCTCTTTCTTCCACTGCCCTCCCTCACATCCCCTCTATGCCAGGAGCCTCCTGACCCTGTGATGCCTGACACAGGGGACACTCAGCTTTGTTGATGCCAGCTGTGCTGAGTTCCCATCCATTGAGGCCAGGGCATGGCCCAGCCTGGAACCATGGCCGAGGGCTTCCCTAGACGGCTCCCTTTTTTGCTCTCTGGCTTTCCCAAATCTTTTCAGGCCATCTCTAAGGACTCTAAAAGGGGGTTATTCCCTGGAGACCTCAGGGTGGGGTTGCCAGTCCTGCAAGTCCATAGCTGAGCTGGAAAGGACGCTTCTGCTCACATTCCCTCTCATCCAGGTCTCTTCCTTCTTGTCTTCCTTCCTCTCGCCTACTTCCTCCTCGTCCTGTTCCTGCCTTCTCTCCTGCAATTTCTCCCGAATCCTGAGGGGATATCCCTGTGCCCCAGCCCCTGGTGCTCCCCCAGCCCGCAGTTCTCAATCAACTTCAGTCTCCTCTCCAGCCCTGTGGAAGTCTCAAAGATGCAATGGGACCCCTAATTGGAGGCCAATCCCTGTGTGTCGTTCCCTTGCGTCTGTTGCTTATTGGGAGTAGGAGTTGCTCCTACCCCTGTCCTGGGGCTGGGTGTGTTTCAGGACAGCTGCCTCTGTGCATTTGTGTCTGCCTGCCTCATGCTCTCTAGAGGATGATGGTCATCGTGACAGCAGCAGCTCAAGTTAGCATTTCAAGCGGTTTTGTGGGTGCGGTGATAATGAAGAATGGGTATATTGTACCAGGGCTCTATATTCTGCAACAACCTGCTTGGGAGGCTGGAGTGGAAACCAAGGGTGGGCATCAAAGATGAGGAGCCAAAACCCCTAGAACTCCGGCCACCCAGCCAGGAGGGGCTGTCCAATCACATTCAGGCTTGCAAATGAGCTGGGCCCTGGGTGAGGTGGGGGTCTGGCCTAAGGGGGAGGGGCCTGGTGTGGGTGGGGCAAGGCCTGGCCTGGTCCAGGCTTGGGCTCCGTACCCGTCACTGCTGTCCCTCCTGAGGTCTGGATTGGGGATGAGGACAAAGAAATAGCAAGAGATGAGAAACAACAGAAACTTTTTTCCCTAAAGGATTGGTTAAATCAGTTCTGATACAGCCTTACAATACAATAGTATGCAGCTGAAAAATAATTGTATGTCTTTATATACTAATATGTAATAATCTTCAAGTGAAAAAGGCAAGCCACAGAAATGTGTATAGTGCACTTCCCATTTGTGTTTCAGAAAGGAGGAGAATATAAATACATATTTGCTTATGTATACCTATTCAGAATAAATGGATAACGCTGATTACTTTTGGGAGGGGAACCAGGAGGTTGAGGACAGGGGAGGGAAGGGTCTTAACACTTACACCCTTTTGTACGTTTTGAATTTTGAACCATGTGACTGTATTACCTATTCAAAATAAACAATAAATGGGCCCAAACAGGAACTGACTTTTTTTTTTAACAGACACTTTTTTTTTTTTTTTTGGTGGAGAACAGGTTGGGGGTAGGGTAAAGTGGGTTAAGGAATAGGACCAGGGATGAAATTTTCTCCACTTCTTGAGACTCAGAAAAGCAAGTGTGGCCTCTAGTAACTTCTTTTACCTTCTCATGCTTGTACATTTTTGAGGAAATGTTAAACCTCGGTTAATACCCTGACACACACCCCATGCCGGCCCTTTCCCTCTCCTTCTCTTTCTCTCTCAGTGAGGGGCACTGAGAAGCAGTGAGGAGGGGGGACTTGGAGAGGGGACTTATGCTTGCCAGAAGCCCAGGCCAGGGCAGGAGGTAAAGTGCAGGAAACACATTCTGGATGCCACTCAGCTTCTGACCAGAAAAAGACCAGAATATGTTCTAGGAGCTCCAGCATCATGGAAGCTTCTGTTACCTTCTGTCTGTTCTGCCCCAAGCCCAAGTTCTGCCATAGGTCAGTGGAACAGTGGATGGGGAGGAGTCAGTGAGCTGGAGAGAAATGAGGCTCTCAAGAACAGGGAGAAAGCCTTCAGTAAGGAGCAGGGGGCCTGCAATGGCCTATTAATTCATAATATGGCCAGGAGCAGAGGCAGGAGTGAAGGAGGACAGGGAGAGACGGAGAGAAGGGCAGACTCAGGACAGATGCAGGAGAAAGGTAGATGCTATGGCCTGATGAGGCGCTGATGCAGGCTTCATAATCCCCTTGACCTGAGGACCTGAACTTCTCCTTTCTTTTTTTTTTATTTTTTTATTTTTTTGAGATGGAGTTTCACGTTTGTCACCCAGGCTGGAGTGCAATGGTGTGCTTTTGGTTCACTGCAACTTCCACCTCCTGGGTTCAAGCAATTCTCCTGTCTCAGCCTCCTGAGTAGCTGGGATTACAGGCAGGTGCCATGACGCCCAGCTAATTTTGTATTTTTAGTAGAGATGGGGTTTCACCATGTTGGCCAGGCTGGTCTCGAACTCCTGACCTCAGGTGGTCTGGCTGCCTTGGCCTCCCAAAGTGCTGGGATTACAGCTGTGAGCCACTACGCCCAGCCTGAACTTCTCCTTTCAATGCATATCCTCTTGTCCCCACCTCCCTATGGCTCTTTCTTATGGCTACTTGCACCATCAACAGTGCTGGGGGAAGGGGAGCAAAGGAATTCAGGTATCCACCCCCACCCCGTCAGCATCTTGTTCACTAGAATTTAATTGCCTTGAAACCCATCTCCAGACCAAAGATCATGAGGGTTTGTATGTGGTGTGTGTATGTAATTGCATGTCAATTCTCACAAGCTTTTATATGAAAATGTGACTAGTTGTGTCTGCCTCCTTACATTTCAGCATGATGATGATGCCACCTGGCCCAGGCCCCAGATGAGGCGAGGCAGAATGGACATCTAGATTGTTAGAACATCAGTTCAGCTCGGGTCAGGAGGGCCGTAAGGTGGAACTCCAGCCTCGTGCCCAATCCAATCTCGTCCTTAGACCACAGAAGTTGTCTGGAGTCTTGGCTTCAGACTTGTGGTCAATTGTCTAGGAGTGATTACTGGCTGAGGATGTCAGGTTCTGAAGGAAATGGTGCTGCCAAGGCTCAGATCTTTAGGACCTGGGACCCAGTGGCCTGAGATACAGGAGCTGGACAAGGGAATCCCTGAGGCTTGAGTCAGAGGGCATGACTAGGACTTTTCCAGGAATGTAGACATGGCAACCCCCTGTAAGGACATGAGGTGTGCCCACTTGCCTTGCCTCTTTTTTATTTTTTTATTTTGAGACAGAATTTCACTCTTGTTGCCCAGGCTGGAGTGCAATGGCATGATCTTGGCTCACTGCAACCTCCACTTCCCGGGTCCAAGTGATTCTCCTGCCTCAGCCTCCTGAGTAGCTGGGATTACAGGCACCTGCCACCACGCCTGGCTAATTTTGTATTCTTGGTAGAGACAAGGTTTCTCCATGTTGGTCAGGCTGGTCTCAATCTCCTGACCTCAAGTTATCCGCCCGCCTTGGCCTGCTAAAGTGCTGGGATTATAGGTGTGAGCCACAGCGCCTGGCCCCCAGTGATTTCCTAAACACAAAATCAATAGGAGCTCCTGGCCGCCTACTTTCTGGACCTCTCGGTGGCATTTGACAACACCAACTGTCTTCTCTTCTCAGAACTCTCTCCCGTCTTGACTCCCCAACATTGTCCCCATTTTATCCATATTTGTTCCTTCTCAGTCTTCTCAGGCTCCTTGACTTCTGCTCCCCTCATCTACTCATGGAGCCTCAAGCTCTTGCGTTTTCTAGGGCTCTGTCCTTGGTCCTCCTTTCTCCTATCTCCGGAAGTCCTCCCTGGGTGATCTCAGCCCGCCCTTCCTTCCTTCCTTCCTTCCTTCCTTCCTTCCTTCCTTCCTTCCTTTTCTTCCTTCCTTCCTTTCTTTCTTCCTTCCTTCCTTCCTTCCTTCCTTTCCTTCCTTCCTTCCTTTCCTTCCTTCCTTCCTTCCTTCTTTCCTTCTTTCTTTCTTTCTCTTTCTTTCTTTCTTTTCTTTTTCTTTCTTTCTTTTCCTTCCTTCCTTCCTTCCTTCCTTCCTTCCTTCCTTCCTTCCTTCCTTCCTTTTCTTTCTTTCTTTCTTTCTCTCTCTCTCTCTCTTTCTCTTTCTTCTTTTCTTCTTTTTCCCCTTAAGACAAGGTGTTGCTCTGTCACCCAGGCTGGAGTGCAGTGGTACCACCATGGCTCACTGCAGCCTCAACCTCCCAGACTCAAGCGATCCCCCCACCTCAGCCTCCTGAGTAGCTGGAACTACAGGCATGTGCCACTATGCCTGGCTAATTTTAAAAAATTTTTTGTAGGCCAGGCACAGTGGCTCACGCCTATAATTCCAGCACTTTGGGAGGCCAAGGCAGGTGGATAACCTGAGGTCAGGAGTTCAAGAGTAGCCTGTCCAATATGATGAAACCCCATCTCTACTAAAAATACAAAAAATTAGCTGGGCGTGGTGACAGGCATCTGTAATCCCAGCTACTCTGGAGGCTGAGGCAGGAGAATCGCTTGAACCTGGGAGGTGAAAGTTGCAGTGAGCCACGATTGCGCCACTGCACTCCAGCCTAGGCAACAAGAGTGAAACTTTGTCTCCAAAAAAAAATTTTTTTTTGTAGAGACCATGTCTCACTATGTTGCCTGCTCTCAAACTCCTGGGCTCAAGTGATCCTCTCACCTTGGCCTCCCAAAGTGATGGGATTACAGGCGTAAGCCACTATGCCCAGCCAGCCTTTCTTACTTTAACTGTCAATATTTGTCATTGGCCAAATATCTCTCTTTACATATATGTTTTTGGTGTTTTGTTTTGTTTTTGAGACAGGTTCTCACTGTGTTGCCCAGGCTAGAGTGTAGAGGTACGATCTTGGCTCACTGCAACCTCCACCCTGTAGGCTCAAGTAATCCTCCCACCTCAGCCTCCCAAGTAGCTGGGACTACAGGCATACACCACTATACCCGGCTAATTTTTTATATTTTTGGTAGACAGGGTTTTGCCATGTTACCCAGGCTGGTCTTGAACTCCTGAGCTCAAGGAATCTGCCCACCTTGGCCTTTCAAAGTGCTAGGATTATAGGTATGAACCGCCACGCCAGCCTATATATATTTATTTTTTAAAGTTATTGTAGAGATAAGGACTGGCTATGTTGCCCAGGGTGGTCTTGGACTCCTGGGCTCAAGCCATTCTCCTGTCTCTTCCTCACAAAGTGCTGGAATTACAGGCATGAGGCACCACGCTCAACCAAAATAAATCTTTTCTCTGTTTTTTTCTTTTTTTAGTGACAAGGTCTTGCTCTGTCACTTAGGCTGGAGTGCAGTGGCACAACCATAGCTTACTGCAGCCTTGAACTCCTGGGCTCAAGCAATCCTTCTGCCTCAGCCTACCAAGTAGCTAGGATGTGCCTGGCTAATTTTCTTTTAAAATTTTTTGTAGAGATGGGGTCTCTCTATATTGCCCAAGCTGGTCTTGAACTCCTGGGCTCATGTGATCCTCAAGTCTTGGCATCCCAAAATGAAGGGATTACAGGTGTGAGCTGCTGCTCCTGGTCAACATTAGTCATCTTTTTTTTTTTTTTTTTTTTTGAGACAGAGACTTGCTCTGTCACCCAGGCTGGAGTGCAGTGGTGTGATCTTGGCTCATTGCAATCTCCACCTCCCAGGTTCAAGCAATTCTCCTGCCTCAGCCTCCTGAGTAGCTGCGATTACAGGTGCCCACCACCATGCCCAGTTAATTTTTGTATTTTTAGTAGAGACAGGGTTTCACCATGTTGGCCAGGCTGTTCTCGAACTTTTGATCTCAAGTGATCTGCCCATCTTGGCCTCCCAAAGTGCTCAGCTCCAGCATTAGTTATCTTAATGGCATGTTCTTAGCCGAGAGCTGGAGGTACCTTCCTCACTATTGACTGTAACTTACCAAAGGGCCCAGACACAAGTTCCCTGGCTGAGATGGATTGCCTTGCAGCTAGGCCTTGACATTAGATTTTATTTCCTTTATCCTAAAGGTCACACAACTGTTGCAGGACACAGAGGACTAGAGAGACTAGCATGGGTGAATACAGGAGGATGTTTATTAGGTGCGCACTGGCTCAGTGGACTCACATCTAAAAAGCTGAGCATTGAACAAAGACAGAGTTTAGCTTACATAGGCTAGTACACAGAAACAGGACAAAGACAGTAAACTATACAGTGACAAGTCACGTAACCTATAGCATAACTGTTGACTTGGTATAACTTGTAAAACAGAAACTTACAAATTTTACTGAATAAAAGTATTGGCAAACATAGTCATAATTAATGGTTTAGAGAAAGGGGAGACAGCAAAGAAATTTGTTTTTCTTCTTTTAACTTTGTTCGGGGGTGTCTGGAGCCTATTTCTGCAGGCTAGGTCACCATGACCTGTCTATAGCCTTGCCTGCAGTAGAAGAAAACTTCTGTTTTTCACTTAACCTTTACTTTTCTTGCAGTGAGTACATGCAGTATTTATTTTCTTTAAATTTCTGCTTCACAATCTGTTTCCAATGACCCCTTCCTGCCTTAGTTACAGTAATTCCATTGTCTTGACTTCAAGAAGCTTTCTAGTTCCTCATCTCCATGTTACTGCTCATTGATGGGAATATCGGGTGTGAGTTTTACTCCCCAACATTTGGGCATAATTATTAAATGTCACTTTTCTTTTTGTTTATTTTTCTGAGATAGCATCCTGCTCTGTTGCCCAGGCTGAAGTGTAATGGCATCATGATCATGCCTTACAGCAGCTAATTCTCTTTTTTTTTTTTTTTTTTTTAACTTTTTAATACAGATGTGGGTCTCTACAAAATGTTGCCCAGGCTGATCCTGAACTTCTGTGCTCGAGCAATCCTGCCACCTCACCTTCCCAAAGTGCTGGGATTACAGACGTGAGCCACCATGCCCATTTACCTTCCTTTCTTTCTTTTCTCTTTTCTTTCATCTTTCTTTCTTTCCTTCCTTCCTTCCTTCCCCCCTCCCTCCCTCCCTTCTTTTCTTTTCTTTTCTTTTCTTTTTTTTCTTTTCTTTTCTTTTTTCTTTCTTTCTTTCTTTTTCTTTCTTTCTTTCTCTTTCTTTCTTTCCTTCCTTCCTTCCTTTCTTTCTTCTTTCCTCTCTCTTTTCTTTTCTTTCTTTTCTTTCTCTCTCTCTTCCTTCCTTCCTTCCCTGCCCTTCTCCTTCCTTCCTTCTTCCTTCCTTCCCTCCTTTCTTCCTTCTTTTCTTCCTTCCTTCCTTTCCTCCCTCCCTCCCTCTCTCTCCTTCCTTCCCTCCTTTCCTTTCCTTTCCTTTCTTTTTCTTTCCTTTCCTTTCCTTTCCATTCCTTTCCTTTCCTTCCCTTTTCCTTCCTTCCTTCCTTCCTTCCTTCCTTCCTTCCTTCCTTCCTTCCTCTCTCTTTCTCCTCTTTTCTTTCTTTTTTCTTTTTTCTTTTCTTTCCTCCCTTTCCTTTCCTTTTCCATTCTTCTTTCCTTTCCCCTTTTTCTTCCTTCCTCCTTTCCTTTCTTTCTTCCTTCTCCTTCCCCCTTCCTTTCTTTTCCTTCCTTCCTTCCTTCCTTCCTTCCTTCCTTCCTTCCTTCCTTCCTTCCTTCCTTCCTTCTTTTCTTCTTTCCTTCCTTCCTTTCTCTCTTTCTCTTTCTTTCCTCCTTTTTTCTGAGATAGAGTCTAGCTCTGTCACCCAGGCTGGAGTGTAGTGGCACAATCTTGCCTCACTGCAAACTCCGCCTCCCAGGTTCAAGCAATTCTTGTGCCTCAGCCTCCCAAGTAGCTGGGATTACAGACATGGGCCACCACGCCCAGTTAATTTTTGTATTTTTAGTAGAGACGGAGTTTCACCATGTTGGCCAGGCTGGTCTTGAACTCCCGACCTTAGGTGATCCACCCGCCTCAGCCTCCCAAAGTGCTGGGATTACAATCATGAGCCACCATGCCTGGCCTTATTTTTTTATGTTAGATAGCCAGCTCTGTGCCCTCAGCTACCCGGCTGGCAGGAAATTAAACTCCAGGCATGTTTGTTGAGAGTGCTCATCTTTAGGGTTAGGTAAGACTCTGGAATCTGGGACTTTCAGGGACCGTCAGCTAGTCTTCAGTGGACAGTGATCACTGCTGTTAAACTCACTTTCCACTGCCTTGCCAAGTCTTGCCAAGGTGGAGACAGAAGAGGGGCCTGGGCATGAGTTCCCCTCTAAGGCTATCACTTCCCTAAGGCCTTGCTGGGCGGGAGAGTCGGCTCTAGCCATTCTTTCTCTTAACACACACACACACACACACACACACACACACACACACACTCCCTACTTGTGAATCCCACAAAATTCCCCTAAGATCTGCCCTCACTCTGTAGGGGTCTCTCAAAAACCTTTCTCCTTCCCGAGTTGATCCAGGGAGCTGTCATCTGTAATCCAAGAGCTTAGGGAGGCTGCAGCGGGAACAGTGCTTGAGTCCAGGAATTTGAGGCTGCTGTGAGCTATATGATGACACCACTGCACTCCATGCACTGTAGCCTGGGAGACAGAGCGAGACCGTGTCTCAAAAACTAAACAAAACGAAACAGAAAAACAAAAAACCCAACTTTTTTTTTAAAACAGTTTTTTCATGAAGAGCTTCTGCAGAGCATCAAAATCAGCTCAGCAAGAGAAAATGTGGTTCTTGGTTTCCCTGTGGACTAGAAGGGCTCACATGCCTAGAGGGGGGAGTTATTATGTTGAAATTCCATCCTGCAGGAAAGGGGAACCCTACTTTTCTTACAGCCTTGAAATGAGCCCTACTATTTCTACAGCTTTAAATAACAAGAGGCCAGACACGGTGGCTCACGCCTGTAATCCCAGCACTTTGGGAGGCCAAGGCAGGTGGATCACTTGGGGTCAGGAGTTTGAGACCAGCCTGGCCAACATAGTGAAACTCCATCTCTACTAAAAATACAGAAATTAGTCAGGTATGGTGACGTGCATCTGTAATCCCAGCTACTCGGGAGGCTGAGGCAGGAGAATCACTTGAACCCAGGAGGTGGAGGTTGCAGTGAGCTGAGATTGTGCCACTGCACTCCAGCCTGGGCAACAGAGCAAGACTCCATCTCAAAATGAAATGAAATGAAATGACAGAAATGAAATGAAATGAAATGAAATGAAATGAAATGAAATGAAGATACAAAAATTAGCCGGGTGTGGTGGCATGCACCTGTAATCCCAGCTACTCTGCAGGCTGAGGCAGGAAAATTGCTTGAACCCAGGAGACGGAGATTGTACCATTGCACTCCAACCTGGGCAATGGAGCAAGACTGTTTAAAAAAAAATAAAGTAAAATAAAAGAACAAGAGGCAGGAAAACCAGGCAAGTTTCCTTATCAAAATACAACCGATGGCATAAACATTTCTGGATAGCCTGACCCTTCTGATGTTGATTTATCTGCTTAAACTCTTCTAGGTTTCCAGGTGTCTGTCTCACTGTCTCCTGCAATGACTACCTTGCTGAAAGCATGCGCCACACAAGGCTTCATGATCTTACCTCCTCTGCCTACTCCCCTCCTCCCCAACTCCCACCAAATAGGCTGATCCTTGACTGTTCCCTGCTTGTGCTGAGCTGTTTCGGGTTTCTGTGCTGGAATATCCTTCCTCTTCTCTGGCAGGTGAATGCATCATCTCCAAGGTTGGCTCGAACATCTCTTCCTGAGAAGTCTTCCTAGATGTGTGTAGGTTGGAGAGGATTCTTCCCCAGGTACACGAGGGAAGCACAACCCCTTCTGGAACCCTCAGTCTCTTCTAGTTCCCCTCAGGACCTGGCTGCCCAAATGACAGTGGCTTTCCACATGTTTGTCACCTGGAAAAGAAGCTGCTCAGCCATTGACTGTGAAGGACAGAGGCAGCTTCACTCTCCATGTCGGCACCATTTTGGAAAAGGATTTCCAGGCATGAGATAAGTCCACAGCCAGTTTCCCAGCCCCATCTGACCTCTGCCCTGGCCTATCCCTCAGTCCAGTACAATGGGAGGCCTGAAGGTCTTGGCTATACTCTGGTTCCTGCCCCCACCCTCACCCCCACCCCAATGAACCAGGCAGCTTCTAGCTTGTTCTGCAACCTGCACGCTCCCCTGCAGTGACTTAGGGTGCTCGGGACCTCCACACAGCTGACCTGGCTCAGCCCTTCATCCCCTCCAGCTCCCTACTAAATACTTTGCCTTCTCATCATTACTCTCAGGCTTCCCTCAGGCTGCTGCTAGGATTCTGGTTGATGGATGGAGGCAGGAGAGAGTGGTGGGAGGCAGAACCTGGAGGACATCAAAAATTAGAGGAGGGAAGGAGGGAATCTGGCTGTGGAAGCGTGGCCAGGTGAGTTTCCCTTGCAGCCAGGAGAAAAGTTCCACCTGGAGGGAAGAGAAAGGAGAGCCACAGGACAGTCACCCCCACTTCCTCTTGCGCCTTGCTAGTTCTTATCTCCAAAACGCACCTCTGAGCCTACTCGGTTCGTTGACCCTGACCCTGAGTGTGTTGTTTGATTTGGAACAGGAGGACAGAGGCTTACGTGGGTCATTTAAAGTCAAAGTTCCTAACTCTGCCCCACCTCCTGAACGCGGCCTGATTCCTAGTTCCCTCTAGCTCCACCCCTGACCCCTCTGCCCTTGGGGTTTTTCACAATATCCATCATTCCTCTTGACCGGCAGCGCCTTCAGAGGCCGAGAGAAACATCCTGCACCCAGGTCCTCTCTGGCTGTTTATTGTTGTCTATTTTGCATTCTGCATTCAGAACCAAGAGCCTGAAGACGACCCAGGAGCTTCAGCTATGGCTGTCTTCATTATTTTGTCCCTGTTTAGTGTTCTGGTGACAGGCATAGGTGAAGGCGGGGCTGGGAGTGAGAAAGGAGGTGAGAGGGAATGTAAGCTGAACCAGCTTCCCCATTGCCCCTCTATATCTCCCAGTGCCCAGCCTTGGACACACCCTGGCCAGAGCCAGCTGTTTGCAGACCTGAGCCGAGAGGAGCTGACAGCTGTGATGCACTTTCTGACCCAGCGACTGGGGCCAGGGCTGGTGGATGCGGCCCAGGCCCGGCCCTCGGACAACTGTGTCTTCTCAGTGGAGCTACAGTTGCCTCCCAAGGCTGCAGCCCTGGCTCACCTGGACAGGGGGAGCCCCCCACCTGCCCGGGAGGCACTGGCCATTGTCTTCTTTGGCAGGCAACCCCAGCCCAACGTGAGTGAGCTGGTGGTGGGGCCACTGCCTCACCCTTCCTACATGCGGGACGTGACCGTGGAGCGTCATGGAGGCCCCCTGCCCTATCACCGACGCCCCGTGCTGTTCCGAGAGTACCTGGACATAGACCAGATGATCTTCGACAGAGAGCTGCCCCAGGCTTCTGGGCTTCTCCACCACTGTTGCTTCTACAAGCACCGGGGACGGAACCTGGTGACAATGAACACGGCTCCCCGTGGTCTGCAATCAGGGGACCGGGCCACTTGGTTTGGCCTCTACTACAACATCTCAGGGGCTGGGTTCTTCCTGCACCCCGTGGGCTTGGAGCTGCTAGTGAACCACAAGGCCCTGGACCCTGCCCGTTGGACCATCCAGAAGGTGTTCTATCAAGGCCGCTACTACGACAGCTTGGCCCAGCTGGAGGCCCAGTTTGAGGCCGGCCTTGTGAACGTGGTGCTGATCCCAAACAATGGCACAGGTGGGTCCTGGTCCCTGAAGTCCCCTGTGCCCCCCGGTCCAACTCCCCCTCTGCAGTTCCATCCCCAGGGCCCCCGCTTCAGTGTCCAGGGAAGTCGAGTGGCCTCCTCACTGTGGACTTTCTCCTTTGGCCTTGGAGCATTCAGTGGCCCAAGGATCTTTGACGTTCGCTTCCAAGGGGAGAGGGTGGCCTATGAAGTCAGTGTCCAGGAGGCCTTGGCCATCTATGGAGGCAATTCTCCTTCTGCTCTACGAAGCCGGTACATAGATAGTGGCTTTGGCTTGGGCCACTTCTCCACGCCCCTGACCCGTGGGGTGGACTGCCCCTACCTGGCCACTTATGTGGACTGGCACTTCCTTTTCGAGTCCCAGGCCGCCAAGACAATACGTGATGCCTTTTGTGTATTTGAACACAACCAGGGCCTCCCCCTGCGGCGACACCACTCAGGTTTCTACTCCCACTACTTTGGGGGCCTTGCAGAAACGGTGCTGGTCGTCAGATCTGTGTCCACTATGCTCAACTATGACTATGTGTGGGATACAGTCTTCCACCCTAATGGGGCCATAGAAGTCAGACTCCACACCACCGGCTACATCAGCTCAGCATTCCCCTTTGGTGCTGCCCAGAGGTATGGGAACAAAGTTTCAGAGCACACCATGGGCACGGCCCACACCCACACCGCCCACTTCAAGGTGGACCTGGATGTAGCAGGTAAGGCATCCTGGCAGAGGCAAAGGTGCCGGAGGGGTGAGCTGAAGTCTCCATGCCTAGCTTTAAAAGTTTTTTTTGGGCTGGGTGCGGTGGCTTATGCCTATAAGCCCCGCACTTTGGAAGTCTGAGGCGGGCGGATCACTCGAGGTCAGGAATTCAAAACCAGCCTGGCCAACATGGTGAAATCCTGTCTGTACTAAAAATACAAAAATTAGCTGGGCATGGGTACACCTGTAATCCTAGCTACTCAGGAGGCTGAGGCAAGAGAATCACTTGAATCTGGGAGTGAAGAGGTTGCAGTGAGCTGAGATCGAGCCACTGCGCTCCATCCTGCATGACAACCAGACTTTGTCTCAAAAAAAAAAGTCTTCCATAGTTAAAAAAATTACCTCTGTGATTATAGAATCTATTATATTGTATACTATGTATAAATATGATATACTGATCGAAGTATTTAGATTTCTATACTCAAATGTTATCATAATGTACCTATGTTTTGTCACTTCTGTTTTTTCACATAACAACATTTTTCAAGCAAGCAACAAAAATGTATGAAATGTATAAATGCACACTTGTGCCGAGCACCCCACTATGCAGTTTAACAGAAGAAACAACAGTGTTGCTCTCAGGTGGTTTACATTCTTTTTTTCATCTCTTTTATTTTTTCTTTTTTGAGACAGGGTCTCTATCACCCAGGCTGGAATGAGGTAGTGTGATCATAGCTCACTACAACCTCCAACTAACTGGGCTCATGTGATCCTCTCACTTCGATCTCCCAAAATGCTGGGATTACAAGTGTAAACCACCATGCTCAGCCCTTATCATTTTTTGGTGGTGAGAACACTTAAACTCTACTCTTAGCAATTTTCCAGAATACATAATACATTGTTATTAACTATAGTCACCGTGTTGTACAATAGATCTCTTTGGGATTTCTGCTGTTGTTTGAAACAGGGTCTTATTCTGTCAACCAGGCTGGAGTGCAATGGTATAGCTCACTGCAGCCTCAACTTACTGAGCTCAAGCAATCCTCCCAATTCAGCCTCCTGAGTAGCTGGGACTGTGGACACACACCACCACGCTCAGCTAATTTAAGTTTTTTTGTTTTTTTGGTTTTTTTTTAATAGAGATGTGGATCTCACTATGTTGCCAAGGCTAGTCTTGAACTCCTGGGCTCAAGCAATCCTCCCTCCTCAGCCTCCCAAAGTGCTGGGATTACAGGCATGAGCCACCATGTCCAATAGATCTCTTGAACTTCTGAAATTTTTTATTCATTGAGCTACATCTCCCCAACTCCACCCTCCTTAAGGCACTGGTAACCACCATTCTACTTCCTACTGCTATGAGTTCAACTTTTTTTTAGGTTCCACATATAAGTGAGATCATATAGTGTTGTCCTTCTGTGTCTGACTTATTTAATTAACATAATGTCCCCTAGGTTCATCCATGTTGTTGCAATGAGATTTTCTTCTTTTAAGGCTGAATAGTATTTCATCATGTAGATATACCACATTTTCTTAATCCTTAAAAGTTTTCCTTATTCCTTATACATTTATTAATTGGAATTTTCCATAAAGAAGAGTTATCCTTCCTTTTTATTTCTGTTTTCAATTATTTATTCAAATTGTATAGACTCATGGTTTTTTATTGTACTTTAAGGGTTATAACGGAGTACTATCATTTACTTTGTTCCTTACGTTTTTCCAACTCTGGCCATTGGGAGGTCCTTTAGATTAGTTCCTATGTCCTTTTCTCATACCTCCATGCCTTTTTGAGCCCTTCCTTACTTTCTGGCACCCAAAAATGTTTCATCTGGCATTTTCCCTGCTCCTACCCTGGAATCAACCTTGTCTGCAAGGAGATCAGGTTCACTTTATTGGAGAATGGTATTTAGAAACCAATATCTGGGCACCAAGTGTGCTCATCATTACTGGGATGTCATTGCTTTTAGGCCCTCTCAGTAGACTTAGCTAGAAAATTCAATCATATATTCCAACCAACCCATACACACACATCTATCTTTATCTCTGTATTAAATGAGGACAACTTTTAAAACACTTGGAATAGTGCCTGACACGTAGCGAGCCCTTGAGAAATACTAGGTATTGTTGTGATTAGCCACAGGAGCCTACTTGTGTGCGTGGACCATAAAGAACTCTTAGTCTGTGGCTGGGCGCAGTGGCTCACGCCTGTAATCCCAGCACTTTTGGAGGCTGCGGTGGGTGGATCACCTGAGGTCAGGAGATTGAGACCAGCCCGGCCAACATGGAGAAACCCCGTCTCTACTAAAAATACAAAAATTAGCTGGGCATGCTGGTGTGTGCCTGTAATCCCAGCTATTCTGGAGGCTGAGGCAAGAGAATCACTTGAACCCAGGAGGTAGAGGTTGCAGTGAGCCCGGATCATGCCACTGTACTCCATCCTGGGCAACAAGAGCAAAACTCTGTCAAAAAAACAAAAACAAAAAACAAAAAAGCCTCTTAGTTTGCATTTGTCACCTAAGGGTGGAAACACTGGGATATGGATTAGGGGCAGTGAATCTACAAAAGGAAACTAAGGGTTTGCTGAATCAGTCTCTCCTCTCTCCTGGTCTTTGGAAGGTGCAGAGGGAACTACCAGCATGTTTTGATTTATTGCTCCTTGTCTTAGATCACTTAACTTGACTCCTAATGTGGGACCTAGTTGGACTCAAATAAAATCATTCAGACTCCAAAAGTTCAGGAAACAGATTGTGTCTTAAGCCCTGCTCCCTGCTCCCTGCCAAGTTTCAAACGGGAAAGGTACCTCCAAGCCCCAGCAGCATCGAGCCCAGCGTTGGTTTTCCTTCCCCTTGGTCCCCACATCTGCTGTTCTTGTGTTGTGGTGTCTCTCTATGCTGTCTTCCTCTATGTGCTGATGTGTGGGCAGTGTAAGGCCAGACTAAGACCCAGGTCCCCAGCACTGCCATGATATTAACCGTGTGTCCTTGCTGACCAACCAAGGTACATTATTGAATGCTCTAAACCTCAGTTGTCCCATCTGTAAAATGGAGACAATGATAGTTCCTCCTTTTTGAGATTGTTGGAAAAGTGAAAGCATGAATACACAGAAGGCACTCAGTATGCTGCCTACACAGCTCCTTCAGGTTCAGTCAATGTGCGGCTTATTTTCATGATAAGGCAGTCCTGGCAATGCCACAGGGCTTCACATGTGAGGCGAAGTCTTCAGGTCAGAGGGAGTGCCACCCTGCCCATTGCCCACAAGGTTGTTCCAACCTCAGGTAAACACCCTCCCATGCAGCCCCTCAGAGGGAGGAGATGGGTGGAGGCCCAGTCACAAGGCATCTTGGATTATTACCAGAGAAGAGAGTAGAGAGAAAGACCTCCTCCAAATCCCTGGACTGGGGTTATCTTGCGGAGAGGGAAGAGAAGCAGGGGCACACTCAGTTCTGGGCTGCTCTTTTGCCCCACTCTGAAGCCAGGTGGAGGCAGAGTCCAGAGGGGCCAAGGCAATTGCATGACAGGCCCTCCCCCATCCCACCCTGAGCAGGACTAGAGAACTGGGTCTGGGCCGAGGATACGGCCTTTGTCCCCATGGCTGTGCCGTGGAGCCCTGAGCACCAGATGCAGAGGATGGAGGTGACCCGGAAGCTGCTGGAGACGGAGGAACAGGCCACCTTCCCCATGGGAGGTGCCACCCCTCGCTACCTGTACCTGGCCAGCAACCACAGCAACAAGTGGGGTCACCCCCGGGGCTACCGCATCCAGGTGCGCAGCTTTTCTGGGGAGCCGCTACCCCAGAACAGCTCCATGGAGAGAGGCTTCAGCTGGGGGAGGTGAGTGGTTGGCGGTCAGGAGGGAGTGGGGCAGGTAGAATGGATGAAGGGCTCCACACTGTTCCACCTCCCACAGGTACACACACACACACACACACACACACACACACACATTCCTGTGGCCACAATCTGTAGCCACTCAAAGCCTAATGGGTGGGTGGAGGAATGCTGAGATATGAGGCATTGAAGCAAATCTAGGAAAATATTAGTGGTAGACGCTAGACTTGAGTATGTGGATGTTCACATATAATTCTTCCAATTTTTCTGTATGTTTAAAATGTTCACATTAAAGGTTGGAGGAAAAAAACAGTGAGATAGGAGCACAGATCGGAGGAAGGATTCCCTAAAATCTAGGTATTTGAGATACTGAACTTGACCTAGGATGGGAAAGAGGCCATGTCCATATGTATGATTCCAAGGCCCAGGCTCAACATCATGCTCTGATCCAGATGGATGGATGAGCAACATTCCTACCTGAAGTCTGCTGGGCCAGTGATGTTTAAGGTACAGGACAGCAGACAAGTCAGGAAGTCTACAGATGAGAGAGAGAGAGGCAAAGAGAACTGGACAGAGATTATACAGAGGCTCAATATTCTAAGACTTCGGGGCTCATTTCCCCCTTGTGTTCGTTCACTCTTCAGTGCAGCCTCAGGCAGTGGAACAGTTGATGAACTTGTCGGTCTAATCAAAAACTCCTGTAGGTACCAGCTGGCGGTAACCCAGCGGAAGGAGGAGGAGCCCAGTAGCACCAGCATCTACAATTTGAATGACCCTTGGACACCCACTGTGGACTTCACTGACTTCATCAACAATGAGACCATTGCAGGGCAGGTCAGTTGCATGGAGTGGTGAGCAGGCAGCTGGGGAGGAGGGGAAGAGTCAGGGGAACAAGATGAGTCACTTCACTGCCTCAGGAGCCAGATTCCTCAGGGACCTTCAGAACCCACTAAGAATGAAACTTCGGCCGGGTGCAGTGGCTCATGCCTATAATCCCACCCAGCACTTTAGGAGGCCGAAGCAGGTGGATCTCTTGAGGTCAGGAATTTGAGACCAGCCTGGTCAACATGGTGAAACCCCATCTCTACTAAAAATACAAAAATGAGCAGAGTGTGGTGGCGCATGCCTGTAATTCCAGCTATTCGGGTGCCTGAGGCTTGAACCCAGGAAGTGGTGATTGCAGTGAGTCGAGATCACACCACTGCACTCCAGCCTGGGTAACAGAGCGAGACTCTGTCTCAAAAAAAAACAAAAAAAAAAAAAAAAAAAAAGAAGAAAAGAAACTTTATGACTTCACATTTTTCCTGAGGAACTAAGAACATATAGGTGGGTGAGCTGACTCCCTATCTGCAAGGTCACTGCGGGAGGCAGAGCACATTCTCAGCAAAGCCAGACCTCGTGATCCTCTTTCTTCTCCCCTGCTAGGACTTGGTGGCCTGGGTGACAGCTGGTTTTCTGCACATCCCACATGCAGAGGACATTCCTAACACGGTGACTGTGGGGAACAGTGTGGGCTTCTTCCTCCGACCCTACAACTTCTTTGACGAAGACCCCTCCTTCTACTCTGCCGACTCCGTCCACTTCCGAGGGGACCAGGATGCTGGGGCCTGTGAGGTCAACCCCCTAGCTTGCCTGCCCCAGGCTGCTGCCTGTGCCCCCGACCTCCCTGCCTTCTTCCACGGGGGCTTCTCTCACAACTAGGCAGTCCCTGGGATGGAGCATGTGGCCAAGGGCTCCAGGGCCAGGGTGTGAGGGACAGGGAGCAGCTGGGCACTGGGCCGGCAGCCTGGTCCCCTCTTCCCTGCGCCAGGACCCTCTTTCTTCCACTGCCCTGCCTCGCATCCCCTCTATGCCAGGAGCCTCCTGACCCTGTGATGCCTGACACAGGGGACACTCAGCCTTTTGATGCCAGCTGTGCTGAGTTCCCATCCAGAGAGGTGAGGCATGGCCCCTCCTGGAGCTTAGAGCCGTGGCCAGGCATTTCCCCAGACCACTCCTGGTTTTCTTAACACTTTGTTTTTTTTAATGAGACATAATTTACATACCATAAAATCCATCCCTTTAAAGTATACAATTTCATGAGTTTTGTTTTTGTTTTGTTTGTTTGCTTTTTGTTTTTTTTTCTTCTTTTGAGACGGAGTTTCACTCTTGTTGCCCAGGCTGGAGTGCAATGGTGCGTTCTCGGCTCACTGCAACCTCCGCCTCCTTGGTTCAAATGATCAAGTGATTCTCCTGCCTCAGCCTCCTGAGTAGCTGAGATTAGAGGCTCCCATCACTATGCCTGGCTAATTTTTTTTTTTTTTTTTTTTTTTTTTTTTTTTTGTATTTTTAGTAGAGAAGGGATTTCACCATGTTGACCAGGCTGGTCTCAAACTCCTGACCTCAGGTGATCCACCTGCCTCAGCCTCCCAAAGTGCTGGGATTACAGGCATGAGCCACTGTGCCCAGCACAATTTCATGTGTTTTAGTATGTCCACAAAGTTTTGCAACCATTGCTACTAATTCCAGAACATTTTTATCACCCCAGAAGGAAATCCTGTACGTGTTAGCAGTCACTTTCTATTTCCCCACAGTCCCTCTCCATCTCTAGATAACCACTTCCCTATTGTCTGTCCCACTGGGTTTGCCTATATTCTGGTCATTTGCATGAAAAGATTCAGATAATACGTGGTCTTCTGTGATTGGCTTCTTTCACTTAGTGTAATGTTTGTGAGATACGTCCAGTTGTAGTGTCAGTCAGTGCCTCACTTCTTTAAGGCTAAATGATATCCCATTGTATCAATATATCTCATTGTGATTATCCATTCATCCATTGGTGGATATTGGAGTTGTTTCCACTTTTTTGGTTATTATAGATAATGCTGCTATAAACGTTCATGCACAAGTTTTCGTGTGGACGTGTGTTTTCACTTCTCTTGGGTATATGCCTAGGAGTAGAATTTCCAGGTTATGTGGTAATTCTATGTTTAACCTTTTGGGAAACTGCCAGATTGTTCTCCAAAGTGACTTACTTTTTTCCTTCTTTTAAAATTGTATAAAATATATGTAACATAAAATTTGCCACCTTGGCCAGGCACAGTGGCCCACGCCTGTAATCCCAGCACGTTGGGAGGCTGAGGCAAGCAGATCAACTGAGGTTGGGAGATGGAGAGCAGCCTGGCCAATATGGTGAAACCCCATCTCTACTAAAAATACAAAATTAGCTGGGTGTGGTGGCATGCGCCCGTAATCCCAGCTACTCGGGAGGCTAAGGCAGGAGAATCACTTGAACCCAAGAGGCAGAGGTTGCAGTGAACCCAGATTGCGCCATTGCACTCCAGCCTGGGCAAAAATAGCAAAACTCAGTCTCAAAAAAAAAAAAAAAAAAAAAAATTTGCCACTTTAAACATTTTTAAGTGAGAGTTTGGTGACATTCGGAAGCTCTTTTGGGCCTCCTTAGTGCTCCTCTGCCCTGGTTTTTGTTTTTGTTTTTTTTAGATAGATTCTCACTCTTGTCACCCAGGCTGGAGTGAATGGCACAATCTCAGCTCACTGCAACCTCTGCCTCCTGGGTTCAGGCGATTCTCCTGCCTCAACCTCCCAAGTAGCTGGGATTACAGGTGCCCGCCACCACGCTTGGCTAATTTTTTTGTATTTTTAGTAGAGATGGGGTTTCTCCATGTTGGCCAGGCTGGTCTTGAACTCCTGACCTCAGGTCATCCACCCTCCTCGGCCTCCCAAAGTGCTGGGATTACAGGCGTGAGCCACCATGCCTGGCCTGCCCTGGGTCTTAAAGGTGAGTAGGGAGCCTCTAGAGACCAGACTGTTCTCCCAAAGCCCCAGAGCATTTTCCCCAGTAGATGTGCATCTCAGTTTTGGGCCTTGGACAGCAGGTCCTTCTCTCTGTCTGTTCCCTCTCATGCTGACAAAGTCCTCCTCCTCTCGGTCTTCCTGCTACTTCAGCTTCTATTCCCTACTGGTTTTTGTTTTTTGGTTTTTGTTTGAGATGGAGTCTCTCTCTGTCGCCCAGGCTGAAGTTCAGTGGCGTGATCTCGGCTCACTGCAACTTCAACCTCCCAGGTTCAAGCGATTCTCCAGCCTCAGCCTCCCCAGTAGCTGGGACTGCAGGCGTGTGCCACCATGCTGGGCTAATTTTTGTATTTTTTGGTATAGACAGGGTTTCACCATTTGGCCAGGCTGGTCTCAAACTCCTGACCTCAAGTGATCCTCTGGCCTCGGCCTCCCAAAGTGCTGGGATTACAAGTGTGAGCCGCTGTGCCTGGTCTGTTCCCTGTGGTTTCTAGTGGAGCAGGGACGTGGGAGCGTCCCTGCTGCCTCAGGTCTCGTAGTTCCTTCCTCTATTCCTTACTTCTGGTGTCCTCCTCTGCCCCTGGGCTGGGTTAGCCTTGGATCTGCCAGGGACTGTCTTGTTTGAAGAAGGACAATGCTTGGTTATCTCCTTGTGGGGGCCTATGTCTCTGAACAGTTTTCTTCATCTTGTCTCTCTGCCTTTCATTGTCATCAGAAAATGTTCCTCCTGTCATCTTGTCATCTGCCTACACTGACAGATGTTACGAGTTCCTGCCATTTACACAGGCCATGCGGAGTACGCGTTTGTGAGGGGGAAGGACGGTCAAGTGTCAGCAGCAGTCCCGGGGGTTTGTGGGTGGAAGGAGAAAAAGGTGAAGGGTCATCTGGTCCCAGGGCCCTGGTGACAGTAGCCTCTGTTACTCTGCAGCAGCCAGCGTAGGTGACCAGAATGTCACTGAGGGTAGGCACTAAAAAGCCCCAGGAGTGGCCGGATACAGTGGCTCACACCTGTAATCCCAGCACTTTGGGAGGCCGAAGTGGGCAGATCACGAGGTTGGGAGTTCAAGACCAGCCTGACCAGGGCTGCCCCTCATGGGCTGTGGACTTTGGACTTTGGATAGGCATAAATAAGAACCGGGACTATTTCCAGGAGGGGATTTGGGGGTGGGAGTAAAGTGGGGAGGAGGTAGGGCTCAAACACCGAGCTTTCTCAGGTGTGTCAAGCAAGAGAAACTTACACAGTATGTGGCGCCCACACCTCTGCTCCGTCAGTGAAGAGAAGGGGTCCCGTCCCAGCAGGAAGCCCAGGCTGCCCGCCCAGCCCGAGGGGAGGGCACTGACTAGGCAGGATCTGGCAAAAGGGAAGTTCAGGGCGCATATTTGGGTCTAATTCAGCTGTGACCAGAAGAGAGATCATAAACTGGGATCCCACATCACATGGAATCCTATGGTTCCCTTGAGAACTGCCTGGACCCCCAGGTCAACCATGTGGGCTGGAAAGGAAGTAAGTTCTGGCAAAGGGACGTTCATACGAGGACCAAAGCCGTGGGAACCACACTTCGATTCGTGACTTTCAGCGTATCTTGAAAGCGCTTAGATGGGGAAGATTTGGAAAGGCAGAACTGCTACTGCTGCTGCTGCTGCCTCTTCTTTCCATTTTGTGTCTCAGCTCAAAGATTGAGCTTCTCTTTACCCTCTCAGCCCAGACAAATGTCTTGTTTTGCCTTTCTTGCATTTTTTTTCTTTAAAGAAATTTGGAGGCTGACTTGGGAGGATCACTTGACCCCAGAAGGTCGAGGCTGCTGTGAGCCATGATTGCACCACTGCACTCCAGCCTGGGCAACAGAGTGAGACCACATCTAAAAAAAAACCAAAAACAAAACATGAAAAGGGAGTCATAATAGCAGAAATGCTCTGTCTTGCCCGGAAAATGAATGCTGCAGGGAGCCAGGTCTGCTACTCTTGGCTGCTCCGCAGGTTGCTTCTCCAGATGCAGAAATTGGGAGAAGGTACCTGTGGCCCAAGGCTGAGGTCTGTGGGGGGCCTGCTGCTGTGGTTCACCTGCTGACCAAGGAAGATGAGATACGGGCCCCCACTGGGGTCTGAGGGCACAACCCAAGCCACCCTGAAGGGGTATGTGCACAAGGAGTTCTCAGGAGAAGTCCCCGAGATGGCCTGTTGGAAAACTCTGATGGGAACATTTCCTTCCACCTTCAAGAAAGAAGCAACGTGACCCTGAAGAATGCAGCCCAGAGAGATCCAAAGGGTCAGAAGCTCTGGGGCGAGTCTGGTGAGCTTCCTAGACTCATCTCCACCTTGCCCTGTGGTCTGGCCCTGCCTCCTGGTGGAGCCTGCCCTGTCCCCACCCTGACACTTGACCTGTGGCTGACAGTGGGCCACCTCTGCTCCACTCAGGCTCTGTGGCCAGGGGGTCTGCAGCTTCTCTGGCATTTCTCCTCACCATCTGGGTCCTGCGATGGAAACAGTCTCATTTAGCTGCCCCAGAGACTCACAAGTCCTTTACTCATTCAGCAAGTATTTTCCAGCCCCTGCCATGTGTCGGGCCCCTGTTAATTCTATAGTAGTATTTGTTGTGATAAATAAAATTGCCTTCATAGTGATGTCATGGTGGAGGGAGGAACGCTCAGAGGAAGAGGCTGTCTCTGAGCCCACAGAGCTCCCACTGCTATTTCTTTTTTTTTTTTTTAATTAAACTAAATTTATTGTCTAGGTGCAAACCAAGGGAACTGTTGGGGGATGGGGTTGAGTCAGGTCAGGGTGCCAGGAGCGGAGCGGGTGAGAGGCCCTGGAGCCTCGGAAGGTCGCAACTTTGGAAGCGATCTTTGCCCTTGTGATTTCATGTGGGGAGGGGGGATGTGTTTAGGAAAAAAGTTATAAAAAGACAATTTTGCATTGAAGTCACTAGGATCTTTCAATGCTAATAGGAACTAATAGGGGGAGGAGAGGTTTATAGGGTTATAGGGGTCTTCCAGCACCATTTCCAGCGTCCCCCCTCCATTTCTATTGTTCTGCCTGGCCAGGCGCTCGCAATCGTGCTAGGGACACCAAAAAGCTCTTGCATTTGAAGAGTTAAAAAAAAAAAAAAAAAAAAGGGCCCCCCCCCCCCCTCCCCCCGCCTCGCTCTCTCCCCCCTCCCCCTTCCCTGAGCGTTAGACCTTTCGGAGAGAGCGCACCACGGGCAGGCCAGGACGGTTGGCGCTGTAGGGAGTTCCTCCCCGGACGCTGCAGTCCCAGGCTTGGCTGGACGGCCATCGCTTCGGGAAGCCGTCCTCTCCAGG